GCCAGAATGATCGCCAACGTTCGAAACAGGCAGGTACCGTAAGAAGAAGGAGATATGCTGATAGATATTTAATTAGAGGAGAGAGTCATAATAGGAGGTAATTTTTTAGTCACCCACGGGGAGCTATACTATAATATATTGTTATGCTATTTAAATTGTATTATATTGCTTATTTAGAAAAAAATCCTGTCTATATTTATTAAATGATCTAATCTCCAATTAATCACAATAAATCAGCATTAATTAATTACAATCTCAGGCTATTTAACTGGTACTATTTACCTTTGATCGTGGATTCAAAATATTTTCCAATTGGCTTCCTAATTGGGATAGGTAATATGACCTGAATAAAATACATATAATTTCAACTGAACTATATGTGAGATGTCCTTTATTTTAATGAAATTTTATATAACAATCAATCCTGTAATATTTGCAATATACTAACTTTAAATATATGAGAAGTTGTTTTCTATCATGGACCCAAATGTTATTTTACATTGATTTTTAATATGTGTTATAACTAAGCTCTTTTTATAATTTTTTTTTAATGATCGCAAAATTAACTAGCTCTATTATGTATTCAATTTATTTAATTAATAAATGAAAACCACACTCCTGCTCTAATGAAAATTGACTGACCTTTCTTTCTCTGCCGTTGCAATTCTATGGCCACAAAAAAAACCTTTCTCTGCTTCTGCTCCTATTGTGGTCCAGATGACGTACACCTTATCTCCTGTATCTGCAACCCAACAACTCGTGTTATTCTATGCAGCCTCCTTTTGAGCCAATCTCCGCGCCTGTTTATAACTCCAAATGTTTCCGGCTTCGTCTGATATTAATATTCTTATACCTTTGGTTTTTCTATCTCTCTGTACCCCGTTCCTCACACTGGTCAGCTTTTACACAGCAAATAAACAACCCGGTAAATTACGTTTTCGGGACTTCAAACAAACACAAATCACAAAGCTCCTTCCTTCTTGGACGACGAAAACTGACTGACTAACTTTTTTCCTATCTCATAGCCAAAACCACCACCTCCTTGCATTCAAAAATTGACCAATAAAAATCATCCACCTCTGTGACGTATATCGTTACCAACCAACTCTCTCTATAAAACGTCATTCGGGTAATTCCAGAAAACAACATTCTTTAATTATTCTAACTAAATCTATCTGCTTTACAAATATTTCTTACTAATAGCTACAAACGATACCTGTTTCTCAATTCAATGTCTTTTGTTAATAAACTTTTACCGATATAATCTTTCGGGGAGAAAAACCACCGCAAATCCCGGTCTATTGTTTAAACACTTTCTATATACACTTTTATTCCGGGCAAATCCATTCCACAATAACCGACTTATTTAAATTTCTTATCGATAATATTTGAAAGTCTTGTCTCTGAGGCCTAATGAACAATTCTTCGAACAACTTAAAATACATATTTTGTCTTATACAGGATGTTTGAAAATTTATATGCCCGTGTCTTTATGAAATATCAATAATTTTAATTTTTATTTAAGTAATAAAATTTGTATATCGGTTTTGTTATTGCTTATGGACATTCAAAAGTACAACAATATATTATGTCTTATATATTGCAGAAATATCTCTCACTACAGTAATGAGTAAGCCTGCATATACCTATTATAGTATATCTCGACTATGCCTCTTCGAGCGGTATTTAATATTTATATTAGGGCATATCTCGTTCCCCGTTATACCACTTCTCACTTTTCAGTCTACCAAAATGAAGTGAGGTTTTTTGTATTTTGTTAAAAAGGTCAATCTACATCATTCCGTAAAGTTACCATATTTCCGAACAAACATTATTGAAACACTACAACATATCATTCGGCACTCCCTTTAGATGCTTGTTCTGTGTGTATCATAATGAGGAACATTTTGAGAAAAGAAAATTCAGAAGGAAAGTTAAGGGTTATAGCAGAGCAGAGAGTTCATACATTAAGATCTTTTATTCTTTGTTAAAAACTAATCAAAATCATAATATGTATACAAATATTTTCTTTTGATTATCAAAAAATCTTTCCTTACCAAAGCTTCCCGACCAGGCAGCTTATTTTTCGCAGCAAATAAATGTTTGTAATTTAACCATCGTGGCTAAAAATTCGAAATCTCATCTTTCTCCTGCAAATGGAGGTCATGTGTGTGGCTTGAATATGAACATCCAAAAGATTCAAATGCTGTTGCCTCTGCTGTACATGATACTCTCATACAATTCAACTTTAAAATCAAATCGAACAAATTCACCCATTTATAGATCGATGTGTTGGACATAACAAAAATAGCAGGATGATTATAATAATCTATATATTGGTTGGTTTATATATCAGCTGGTTACATCAAGACACTGGAGTTCACGTTTCTGGATGTTGGTCTTTCCTTTTTGCCACCAGATAGGATTTTCGGTATGATAGAAAGGAGATACAAAAGAAGAACGTTGTAATAGACAGAAAAGTATATGAAGACATAATTTAATTGGAAAACACTCAAAGGTGCTGAGACTTGGTAAAGATGGGCAGATATCAGACTAGAAAAAGACGAGTGATGTTACTGTTAAAAAACCTTCAAAATGACAGATCATATAGCCAAGGTAAGAGGAAATATTTTATCGTTCTGACATAGGGTTCAGCAAGTTTATAATACGAAAAGGAAAAAAGGTCTCTTTATTGAAACCTAAATTACAACATATTGGATGTTCATTGAAAGGATTTAAATCGTCTATAGACACTCTGAAAAAATATTTTGGTGAAAATTGGGATACCTGCGGGATCTCACATATTATAAAATAATAGATATTGGCGTACAGACAAATAATAACGACAGTTCTGGATAAAATGATCATATTGATGATGAGGATCCAGAGGAACTTAGAGTTTAAGAATTAATATAAATATATACACATAATTTGTAAGACCTTTTGTACTTTGGATAAAAATAAACTGTTGACTAAAAGTTTACTTCCACGCGCTTTCTCCCTTATTCGTAACATACACTAGGTTTTGAAAATAGACTAATCCAAGGACCACTAATATCGTTAATGATATTATAATAATATATCAATAACTTTTGGATATTGTTTTTTATGGGCTTCTTGAAGCTGAATATCGAAATGAATGTAATTTGTTCATACAAGCACATTTCAACAGTAGCGACCATAAGTAAAGGAGAATCTGGCTTTAAATGCGCTGGCATTTTTCTACTCAACCCAAAAGTATTTACAGATCAAGATTTTTTAGCTGCTATAACATTACAAAACCAATCGCTTGTTGAAGTCCAAGATAACAATGAAGCCATACCAGCCGAAATTTACTATACAAACCCATCTCAAACTTTGCCACCTATAAATAAAAATCAGGTTGAAACAATAGCAATGGATCCTATTCCGGGAGCTTCTACTAGTTTCACATCATTTAAAGAACTTACGTCTATTACAAATTCTGCTGTAAGAAAGAGTATAACCAGAAAAAAACAGCATGCCAAAATCCTGACATCTACGCCTTTTAAACAAGAGTTAGAAGAAAAGGAACAGAAAAAACAGGAAAAGGTAAAGAAAATTCAAGAAAAATGAAAAATTAAATTAAATACCCAAAAATCTCAGAAAAGACAAAATAAAAATAAGACTGGAAAACAAGTACAAACTAAGAAACCTCATTAGAAGAGACAAGTGTTTGATTCTAGTTCTTCGGAATCGGATATCGATATACCATGTGATGACAGTGACGATGCACACGAAGAAAGATGCCTGGTTTGCAGTGAGTTTGGCAAAAACAATGAAATGTGGTTTAGTTGTACTCTTTGCTCAAGATGGGCCCATTCAGAGTGCAGTGGATGGGATTCTGCAGATGATTGTCAACCATTTTTACATTAAAACAAATATTTTCGTTATTTATAATATTTTTTCATCTTTTCTACAGATTTACTTGAATTATTACCCAAGGCACATTCGTTAATCGTTTTATCACAAACAATTGTTAAATAGATATTGATTTTTATTTTAATAATAACACAAACAAATTGACTGGCGTTACCCACATTCATGACCGGTGTTGTCCATATATGGTGATCATACCGATCAAAGATATTTTTTTATTTTGTCATTTTATTTTAAAAATTTTTGATTTTTTAAATTGAATGTGTCTTGCAATAAGTTAAAACCCCGAATGACCGGTCAACGCCTTAAATTTGATTCACAGAGTTTTACTTTTTTATATTAAATTTTCTTATTTAGGTGACCGCGATTTGCACACTTGACCCTATACAAACTAGAAAACTGGAATACCTCCACGTGATGAGGGACCAAAATATGAAATAATTTTGAGACTCATAATACAGGGAAAGATTCAAGTAAGAAGATCTGTTGGCCGAAGGCAGAACTCATGGTTGAAGAATCTACGTGATTGGTGTCAATTCAGATCGATTGATTTGTTTAGAGCTGCAAGTTCAAAAATAAAAATAGCCATTAGGATTGCCAACGTCCGTAGGGAGACGGCACTCTAAGAAGAAGACTAGCAATATATTTGCAAATGTTAATTGCATAAATATGTATTTATATAGTTCACTTGCAAAACTCGGTATTTTAAAATTTTTCTTTTTTCCTAGCAAACACAACTTTCTAAGCAAAAAATCATTGTATTTTACATAATAAAGCATTTATCTATTACAAAAAAATGCCATTTATTAAATCTAAGGTTCTTTTTACAAAATTTGCCAGTTTTTTGCAAATAACAGTTTGACTTATACGGTAAATACAAAGTTTTGCATCTGGCGGATTCATTCCTTATAAATACTATTCTAAAATACCAAGTCTGAGTATTTGGCCATCTAGTAGCGTCCTAGTTAAATACACTCACAGTATACACTAATTTTTTTAATAAACTTTTTTTACCTGATCGAAGATGTCGCTGTTTTCGGATTATTAAGAGTAAAGTGTATCTAATCATCTAATCAAACATTTTTAAATATTCTCAAGTTTACCTATTAGTCTCGCACGTCTAACAACAAAATATAAATCTCGTGACAATAATGTGATACAAAATTACGAAATTATTTATTTTATAGTACAATTGTAGGCTATGTAAATAATAAACATGAATGGAACACGTCTTGGTTTAACTCGAGAAGAAATTATAAAAATTAGTGAGACAATTAGAGAAAATAATTTAAACAAACAGGAATTGATCTTTAAAATTGTAATTATCGGAGATTATGGAGTAGGTGAGTAAAAGTTGTAGTATTATCTTTTTATAAAAAAATTCAGAATATCGATTAATATACGTAGGTAATTAAAGTTGTTTTTAGTAAACTAATGTAATCTCATCTTATCAATTTTATAATCTGTGGATTTATACAGGATGGTACAAACATTTCATAGATATCTGAAGATTTTATAGATATTTACCTAAAAAACAATTGAATACTAATTCAAGGGAGCGTAACAAGCTCTACGTAATCTAGTTTGCTTTCATGTGGGTATAGGGTATTTCTCTTTCTTAAAGCAAAAAATGCTCAACACTTTTCACGTAGAAGATTTATCGCATGAAACATGGTGATCGAGTTTAATTTAATTGTCTCTAGTATTACTTATTTTATTTTGTGTACATAATTTGTTGAATATTTTTAAGGTGAATATTTTTTATTTCTAATCAAAGATATCTTTTGTGAAAAATTTTATATTTTTAGTCACATGTTTTCCTGTGTTAATGTTTCGCCCTGGTAAGGTGAAATTAATTAAAAATGATTCTAAAAAATTGCTGTTTTCCTAAATAACTATGAGAAACAGTTTTAAAACATATATCTAAACTCTGTATACAGCGTTAGCCATTTATATTGAAGACACCCATGTAAAAAATTATTTATTATCCGATTTCAACAATTTTTGGATGCCATGTGCAAAAAGATCTACCTCTGGACAAAATTGAAATGATTACTAAAATTTTCGGCGGGAATATCAACTACGATATTTATTCGTTGTCGAAAATATCATCATCAGCAGTGCTGCTCTCTTCAGAACAGTCTTCCATTCGCCCCTGTCTCTGGCAAGTTTGGGTCTTCCTCTGGATCGTCTTCCCACTAGTTCTCTTCGGTCGAAACTTTTTCTGATCGTTGCATCTTGTGAACGTCTAAGCAGTTCTTGGTCGTTCTGTGTAAGTGACCACGTTTCTGATTCTGACCCGTATGTTAACACTGCCCTTATTAGTATTTTGTATATGGTAATTTTAATTTTTCTGGGTAGTTTTGGGGCCATCTGTTTTCTCAAGCCATAATAGCACTTATTGGCAAGCACTATTCTTCTTTTAATTTCTTCGCTGACATTGTTGTCTTTGGTCAACAGCGAGACCAGGTAGATGAAGGTGTCCACACCTTCCAGTTCCAGATCATCAATTAATAGTCTAGGTAACTGGTTGTCTGATCTAGTACAATACATATACTTGGTTTGTCGAAAATATAGAATTTCTATTAACAATAACTTTATATAAATAATTTCATGCCACTAGATTCACTAGAAATTCAGTGTAGTTTGAGTTGTAAAATTAGATCTTTGCTACATAGCAAATTCTTCATTTTTACAAATACGCCTCTAGCTTTTCGATTGGGCATTTTTTTTTCCTGAGAATTCTCCCATTCGCTCAATGTACATCCCAGATTATGCGAACTTTGCCACTCATTATAGTACCTGATTATTTGCCCTAGTATCGTGCGTTGGTTCTTCGACTTATTTATGACCATATATTTCATCTTTTTAATGTTCAATTTCATTTCGTATTCTCTACTCATTTTTACGAATTTATTGATAACGAATTGTAAACCTTTCATTCTATTCGCTATTAATATGGTGTTATTTGCATATAGGATATGGTTAATGGCTTCACGATTCACTTTGATACCCTTTGTAAGATCTCGCCTTTCTAAAAAAGCTGTTCTTAAAATATATTAAATAGCATGCAACTATGACGCACTGGACTCTGGATTTGAATTGATCTGGTATACTATCCATCCACTCATTAACGGAATATTTGAACTTTAATTTAGATCATTTTTAAATTTAGATTTCGTAACTATGGGTTTTTACAGGGTTGGGTAGTTAACCCAACGCCAAACCCTTTTCGGAGGGCCATTTCACCCGCTCTCGTCAGTTCCCGACCCAACTTTCCATCCGGGGTTGAATACCGGATCTCCAGCTGGGTTGCTCGGTTAACAGGGGACACCATCGTGAAGGTGAGAGTCGGATTTGAGTAGAAGAGGCTAATTGGAGTAAACTGGAATCAACTCCATTATATTCGCATTCTACCCCTTTATCCCCATTAGAAAGATAGGCGCAGCAAACTGGCAACGGTTGGCAATGGATAGGACTGCCTGGCGTAATAGACTTGGAAGGTCGAGGCTCTTTCATAGGGCTGTAGCAACCATTGATGATGATGATTAGATCATAGATGGCACTGGGAATCGACCATTAGATAATTTATCGTAGCGCTTACGGATGTTTCCAATTACACACTTTAGTAGGGGGGGTAATTCCTTCCCATGCCTGTCAAATTTTTTGTGCAGAAAGTTTCAGTACCTTGTGTTGGTTTTGTACTTTTTGTGTAAAATGTCCCCAGAGAAAGAAGTCTAAAGTAGTAAAATCTGGATATTTTTGTGGCCAATCTATTAACGGACAATCAAGTCATTACCGCCTACCTCTTATATAATGAACTGAGTACCCATCTAATTGCACAAATAAATTTAATCGTTCAATAATAGAAATTAATCGTTCGTGAATGGCATCCTATCTGTCCGTGTTTAAATTTAAAAATACTAAAAAGGTCTATGCGTAAGTTTTGCTCAAAAAAGATAATGTCAATTATATGCTCATTCTGTATCCCCGCAGCCACACTTCCAGCCACTTTCAATCGGTCAGAACTTTACCAATGTTACAAAAAAATACCTTCTATAATCTTATTCTTTATTAATTCCTTTATAAATTCACTATAACACAGACAATATATTATAGACAGTGGGGACTGCGATCAGCAAACAAAGTATAACAGTCGTTTTCACAGTTTTATTAATATTTCAGAGTTGTTATCATTATTTTGGAAATGTCAATAATCAAAAATGTTAAATTCCAACTACTTTATTCGACAATTCAGCTTCCAGGCCGGAAGTAATTTTTAAAATACAAATTTTGAATGCCTATAAATTTTGCACTAATTAAATATGATAGTACCTAATAAAAAATAAATGATAATGTTTTAATTATATTTTTTTGTAGGAAAAACATCTATAATTGGTAGATTTACAGAAGGTAAGTGCAAGTGCAATAAACTTCTCAAGTAATTCAGAAAAACATATTAACCATTCAAAGTCGCGAGTAATCAATATTCTCGCATTCTTGGAATATTTCACCACACAATCGATAAGTAGGTGAGTAAAGTAACGAACTCGCTGAATGCCGTGAATAGTTCCACAATTTGAATAAACTTTTCCAAGAAAGGCCTTGACCCTTTACTAGGAAAAATGTAATTGATAAAAAAGGCAAAAACAATATCTTTCTCATTATTTTTTATACAAATAATGTCATATGTGTTGGTGAAATTTTATACTTTATTATTAATAATTTAATCATATAATAGGTATATAGGTGTTCTGCGAGTACATTAATAAGTTATATATTAACTATTAAAATCGCTGTTTGGATGACAATTATTTCAATAAGTTTGGTGAAAATAGGGAACTAAAAATTAATTGCTTTCATAAGGCCTTATGACCCAAGAATTCGTGTTCATCTTGGCGGAATCAATTATCGGTTAATTTCCTGATCTTCTACATTTGATACAAAAGATCGTAATCAATCATCAGTCTAAACTAAATCAGATCAGATCAGTCATCACTAAATAATTATGATTACTTACTCTTTCGCATTTAAATATGGCAAACTCTTTCAAACATCGCAAGTCAGAGAGGTTTATCCGTCTAAATCAGTAGTTATTTTATTTTCAGCTCTCTACTATTTTATAAGAATACTACCGAATGATTCAGTTCCGCTTGGAGGAAGTGACGCTTTCATTTTGGCTTAAATATAATTATGCTAAAAAGAAGAATGGCTTTTCTGCAACGCTTTATGATCTGGTTCCAATCTATTGGAATTACAATAGATTGGAACGAAAAGAGCATCAATGTAGATGGAAAATTTTTAAATAACCTTAAATTTGCAGATGATATCGTTCTTATTGCAGACAGCTTTGATCAGGCACAGATATTGCTCCAAGAACTCCATACTGCCACAAAAAGAGTTGGTCTTAAAATAAATTTTTCAAAAACACAATTTATGACAAATTTAGTCCACAACAAAAACATCTCAGTAGAAGACAAAGATATTGAGCCAGTTGACTCCTATAAATACTTAGGCCATGAGATCAGAATAAGTCGAGACAACCAAACAATCGAGCTGAAAAGAAGAATAAACCTCGCTTGGGCTGGCATTTGGAAGGATGAAGGATATTTTTAGGTCTAAGATTCCAATGTGTCTGAAAAGAAAAGTATTTAATCAATGTATTTTGCCAGTGATGACCTACGGCGCAGAAACCCTAACGATCACAAGAAACAACAGTGAGTAAACTACAAGTTGCGGAAAGAGCAATGGAGAGAATTATGTTAGGGATTTATCTACGTGATAGAATACCCAATGCTACTATACGCAAAAGATCAGGAGTAGCAGACGTTATGGAAAGGATAACAACACTAAAGTGGAACTGGGCAGGTCATGTAGCAAGATCAGTTGATGACCGGTGGACAAAAAGAATTTTGGAATGGAGACCCAGAATACAAGCTTACAGAAATAGAGGTCGACCCCAACGAGATGGACAGATGACATAAAAAGAGTGACTACAAATTGGATTCAGATGGCGCAAAATCGGACTAAGTGGAAAAGCATGCGAGAGGCCTATGTTCAGCAGTGGACGTTAGAGGCTAGTTGATGATGATTATGATCTGGTATCCCTTCTTCTTACAATATTCGAGATCTACTTGTCTGTGACACTTGGTCATGAGTTCTTTGTTCTAATTTAGTCTGGTATCCATGTGTGAGTAATTGCTCGTAGTGCCCAGTTACCGGAGCGAATGCACAAAATTTCGGATTAACTTAAATTTAAAACTTAAGTGCATCCAAAACTTTAAATTCTTGCTCATGTGGGAATAGCCCAGAGAAAATTGCGAGACGATATCCAAAATATCGCTGGAAAAATGGTATTCATACCGCTCTACACATAAATACCTAGAAATCATTAGAAGATGCTTATATTCAGGAGTGGTTGAGTGGAGGCTAAGAAAATAGAAAACTACAACGGTGTTATTATGAACTGTTCAAAGCAGATAATTAGAAATATCGATAAGTTGCTGTTCTTTTAAATATATATATTTCCTTCTTTCAGGGCAATTTTCTACACAATATAAAATAACGATAGGTGCAGATTTTGCCGTCAAAACTTTAGAATGGGATGAAGATACTCGAATTAGTTTACATTTATGGGATATTGCTGGTAACGAACGATTTGGCAGTCTACTAAGCGTTTTTTACAGGCATGCGTAAGTAAAATTATGATATACCTCTTTTCTTCTTCTCATATTACGATCATTATTGACCATAGTTCAAAAAAAGATAGAAACAATTTGGTGTGTTGTGCGGGAGATGGAGAGCCAATGTTAGCGCAACAAGACACAAACTATCCTCTTCCACTATATCTCTTTTTGCCTTAACTGATATATTATTGGGAGTATACATCCAAATGACTTAGTTGCACGGTAAATTCTATAGCATCCTAAACTCCACTCATTATGATATAAACATAAAGAGATTGATCTGTAGCAAACTGGTGTTTGCCATACAAAATGTATGTGCACACACTGCTCACCCTCACTTACCAAATCTCGAAGATAATTTACTCGAAGAGTTCAAGTTTATAAAGGTTCTATACCTAATAACCAATACCAATCCTATCCTGCTGCCCATGGATTAGCAGGTGATTTATAATTTTGAAGAAGTTGTACACCAAGCACATTTTTTTGGCGCTGCTTTGAGATGACGAAGAACACAAACCTTACCCTTCGAGAGTTCTGGAAGGACCACTTTGAGCAGGCAGCCTGGCTGGTTGTTACGAGGACCTTAACCTCTGCATGGAAGAAGCTTTAGGCTGATGCTGTAGCTGAAAAAGCTTCAGAAGAATTGGAACCCGAAGTGTCAGAACTCGTCGACGAACAGCCTCAGGAGCTGACAACTCACGAATTAAATGATCTCATGGACGTATATTATACGTCATGAATGATGCGGTGGTTCAACGAAAAATTGGTTTTGAATATAAGCCACAGAAGGAGGAGGTCATCTCTACTGGAGATATAAATGAGATCTTGGGAATGTGGAAAAAGTTGTAGAGTTCGTCTACAAAAATAACCTTGCAAAAGTTGCGACTGGTAGTCGATATGACGATAAGAAAGCTATGCTTCCTAACCTTGGTCGTCACTCCCGGAGTGCCACATCCCGTTTTGCTCTAAACATCGCTCTATTAAATAATAGGTAACATTCCAGCTTGTGATTACATCTTGTACTAGTTGGTGGCCTGGCAAGTTAATTTCTTCACGAATTGATTTCGATGTGATATATCAGAGTGGTTAAAATGGGTATCAATTCGACTCGCAGCATTATCTGTATTATTTCTGTTTAAGACTTTAGCGATTATTCGATAGGTAATTGTTGCAATGAATGAAACACTTTCCAGAATAATATTCCATGTCTCGTACACCTTTTATCATATTTGTCCCATGGTATTATAAATGGATCTTACTTTAAGGAATATTCCATTCTTCTTCAAAAACATTGAGCTCTTTTGCAACATTGGTACCATATATTTATGAGTACCACATTGAGACAAGCTATAACTGTCACGCTTAATGTACACATATTTTGCCGAATGTTCGGCATTCAGCCAAATCAATATTATGGCTATTACCATATGGCTATTTGAAAATCTAAATAAAAACTTTCAGCTTCTCCACTTTCTCCTTGGAGGAGAACTTCTCCCGGCAGTCACTAATAATGTTTTCCCGTAGTTTTCAGAATTCCTTTCTAGAAGCCTGCATAACGCCAATTGAAAACGAAGGCCGACTATAACATCTACAAAGCAGGATGAAGTGTTTATTACAAAGCAAATTCAATAATCTTTTTCATTATAAATAAAAAATTAATTAATATATCTTATTTCGTTGTTTTAGTGTTGCAGCAGCTATAGTATTTGATTTAACAAGACCAGAGACATTTAATTCAGTTAGTAAAGTAAGAACACCCAAATATAATTTTTACAAAATTAACGATTGCTTTTCAGTGGCTCACAAATTTAAGAAAAAAACTATATCTACCTGGAGGAAGAACAATACCCATAGTGATTTTAGCAAATAAAGGTGATATAGTAACTACAACACTGCCACCACAAATTGACGAATATTGTAGAAATAACGATATTCTAGCTTGGTACGTCACATCTGCCAAGAAAAATATTAATATTGGTAAGATATGTAGTATAAATTATTTCAGGATTTTAGAAGTATATACCTAGACCTTTAGTAGGATCTTAATAGTTCTTTCACAAGACAATATTACATCCGTTGCTCTAATTTATTATTGGAAGTCTGTATAGGTAAAACATGTTTCTCAACTGCAATAAGCAGTACACCTCTTCCACATTTAAAAGTACTGACTCCAGTACTTCTATCATATCTTATTACAGAATACTCATTATAACACTATTTCAGTATCCAAAATATTGCTGTACAGCTAATTTCCTGGAAGCATGATAGAATCGTAACTATATAGCTTTACAGAATGGGAAAGATCTTTAAGCTCTCACCTTATATTCTGGTACTAACAATTTAGCAAGCATATCTCTCTCGTTGTTGTCCTGTCTCTTACTTTTGATTTGTTCATAACCAAATTTGGGATCAATATGTACGTATCAAGGGAGAGAATGGTTTTCAATATATAAGCTATCAGTTGAAATTTTCTTAACACGTTCGACGTGAGGGTGACCGGTGACCTCCGCAACATAGCATTATACAAAGTTGTTTTCTGTGCCGCCGGTGACTCGTTTCGTTAATATTATATATAGAAATGACCGTCAAGGCGCTGAAGTATAAATCTTTTAAATGGGACAAATCTATCTACATAAGTAAAAAAGATATAGTATCAGTTTTGAATATTTATATAATGTTATTGAAAATATCTGTTATGAATATTTATGCAAAGTAATGACATAACTAAAACAAATTAACTCTAACTAACTAGAAATTAACAATAAAACATTGAAATTAAAAAAACAATCATTTTCGGAAAAATATACATATCTATGCACCTTATTGAAACATGGCAAACTGGCAACTGAGGACTACCTTCACACTGCATGCAAAAACTGTTCACCTTTTTTGTTTTATTTTTGGCTAGTTTCGTGCCCACTTGTACTACATTAAGTTTATAACATTGAACACAATGACGTCTCGAATCTCGAAGTTTCCTTGGTTTCGTCCCAAATTCCTGTTTGGTTCTTGTTGGCCGCGACGTTCTTCCTTCAGCTTTATCTTCTTTTCTGGAATTGGTGAGATACTCAACTAGAGCCTTTCTAAAATCTACAATTGACATACAGTTTTTGGTTGTTTCACTGTACATAATAGAGGCATTTAAAACAGCAGTATTTAACAACAATTCAATCGCCAGTTTCTTGTACCATTTAACCCTTTTTCTTAGTAAGGTTGAATGTGATGTCACTTGGTCGCTCATGTCAACAGCAGATTTAGATTTATTATAATCTAGAACCATCTTTGTTTTTTTTTATTAACTTGCCTCTTTTTCCAATCGTAGAAAATTTATTTGAATGTTTGGTGGATAACATGAGGACATCTCGTTTATCCTTTCATTTCATGACTGTGACTTCATTTTCGTGTTCCTGTGCAATACTTTCTCCGGTACGAAGTTTAGTTTCCACAATTTTTGTAGGCAACCCTCTCCTATTCTTTCAACTGTTCCAACCAGATGAGTTGGATCATTTTTTAGTAGTTCGTATGCTAACTCTAAACTAGCGTACCAGTTGTCAGTTGCAACTGTATGACCTTTTTGTTCTCAATTTTGTTCACAATATAATTGTAACTTGTTAGGTGTATGAAGGAATCGCATACAATTTGAATAGTTTAAAACCGTATTTGTGTCGTTTTAGGATGTCGTATTATACTACGTCCAATAAAACGTCCTCTGAAGGGAACCATACTTTCATCTACACCTACATCTTTTTTAGGAGAGTAATATTGATTGAAATTACAATTTAATTCATCTATAAGCATCCTTATTTTGCCAATACAATCTGCAGTTTGGTTGTCAGAGAAGTAATTGTAGAATTAACTCGAATCTATTCCTACTCATAATGGTTTCAGGAAATCGTTGTTCCATTTGTCTTTACTCCAATAATAATTAATTTTTGGCAGCTTTGCCAGTCCTATATATATAGTAGAAGGCCAAAAAAAAAACGTTTAATATCATATTTGTCAGTTAGTGTCCAAGAATGTGAATGAGCTTGTGGTTTATTATCTTTTTCCAGTAAAGACTGTGTCGCAAATAAATTTAACTCATTTGCTACATTTTCAGTAACCAAATGCATATAAAAATCTTCAGGAGGGGCTTGCATCAATATGGTGGATTTAACCCAATTAATTCTGTAAATGGTATTATTGAACGTTGGCAACCCATTGGCTCAAACGATTTGCGTGATGAACTTGCTTCGTCTATTATTAGTAACATTATTTAAAGAATCAGTCTCGCTTTCGGAATCACATATGCAAAATTTCATTTTCAGAGTCTTCTTCATATGAGGCATCTATTTTACGTTTATGTAACAATGCAAAGCTTCACTTATACAAAAATTGTCTACCATACCAAAAATCTCTGCAAAACTTTGATCTTCATTGTTCACCTTTATAGTTCAGAATTTTGTCAATATTAGGAACACAGAATAATACGGAACACAAAAAAAAAAACCCAGTTACTGCATCAACTTTAAGACAAAAACTGATCTTTTTTTTATTTACAAAATTGCTTCAACCACTAGGGGTTATTAGCATGGTACAATAAATTACATAAATGTTACTCTATATTTTGTGAAATAGTCCTGTATTTTGTAAAAAGTTTATAGTTTTATCATTATTGAAGCCGTTTAAGCACTCTTTGGATGAAGTGGGTAATCCAGCTTGAAGTCGTTCTAGGGTGTACAAAGGGCAGTCCACTAGCACATGGTCCACTGAAATTACACAATCACAACTGTAGCACATGGGAATTTGTTCATTACTTAGAAGTTGTACTCAAAAACTGATCTGTTGTTTCTTATTAGAACCTCATGGGCACTATAAGCACAAAGGGGAGGGAACTACTGAGAGTGGGATTGTGACCGATGCCGCATGGTACAAGGGAAAAGTTAAATGGCGTCGCGGAGGGCATGGTGACCTCCATGTGTTTTTTTTTTTGATTTATGACGCAAAAATACGCTCTAAAATAAAAATTGTATCTATTTTTAACACATCAGTAACAGATATGTATACAAAAAATTTTTTATTCATTTACTCATGGCTTTTAACGTGTTAAGTGTGATACTCCTATTGCTAGATAATTTGTTTGCCCCGTAGAGTACATATTAAAAATTACAATATTCCGTCCACTATCCACAAAGTGAAAAATGTCTGATAAAAATTGGGTTGTAGGCATTATAGTTCTTAGCCCACTAAAGATGGGTTGTACTTTCCTCTTCCCTTTTAATCACCACTGCTAAGAAATATTTCTAGATTATATAAGCTAACATAAACTTAAAACTCATCTTCTCATGTCGATAGGTATTGGTAAAGACTAGACATTCCACACTTTTATTTCTTACTCAGTTCTTAGTGATACATGGTAAAAATTAATATTTGTTTTTATCTTTAGTATCCAGTTTTCTGTCTAGGTATTTCTCAAACATTATTTATATTTATATAAACTTGGATATCTAGTTTGATTGAGCGAAACATATTTTAATCCTACACAATCATCAAACTAAATATATTGCTGTCTCTAATCCTCAAAAATTTCAACACTATTTATAAATATTTTGTTTTACTTTGTTGAATGTAGAGAACATATTTTTTATTTTATTTATTTAAATTAGCAAAATGGTTTACTATTTTTCAAATTTTATATAATCAATTTCATTTATTTTGTAGATGAGGCCATGGTGAAACTTGCAAATGCTGCTTTGAACAATCATTTTGATTTGAAACTTTCACTAGCAACTGATGAAGATATTATCAATCTCACACAAAATAATCAACAAGATCAAAAAAGATGCTGCTGAGATGAAGTAGTTTGGTAGTTCATAATAGAATCTCTGGATAATGGATAATGATAACTAGGAGGAGAATTTAGATGCAAAGATATAGATAATTATTATTTTCTTGTCTACTATATGATAAATAAATTATTAGTAGTATTAAATTAAGGTATATCAGTATTTGCAATTTTATTTAAGTAATTTGCAACAAATTTATTTCTAATAAATATTCTATATCAACAAAAGTAAAAAAGTCTATATATTACAAAATGCATAAAATTCGCCCCCTAGTGGTAATAAGTAAAACCAGTTGATATTCTAATTTATTAAAAAAACAAACAAGTATTAACTACAACGTAATATAAATTTTTATATAAATTCTAATATATATGATTAACCTGCTCCCTTTTCCAATTTCTGTGCTGCAGCCATGGCACTTTCATTTGCTAGAACTTGAAACTCTTGGAAACGCTGAGTTATCCTTTGGTTTACTTTAAGAAACTTCTCCATGCAATTAAGTGCACATTTTTCCTAAAATTTATATATTAGCAAATGTTTCCATTACTGTTTTATTTCATTTAAAGAATTTAAGCCAGCAAAAACATTGTATTAGGAAAAATAGGAGATGTAGGATAGAAGACATAAACTAATGTATAAAAATTAGGAAATTAGACTGCAACAAATACATAAAAACTAAGAACAAATAGATTTGTGAAAATAACTAAGATTGGTAGATAAATAAAAGAATGGCAACAAGGAGAACAAAATGTTTGAGGATAGAATAGGAGATTAACATAACAATAAAACAAGCAGCTACACAACTAGTAAAACAAGATATGGTGAAAATCTATCACACTCTAGTCTGTCAGTTGATTCCAATTTTTCTTAAAGAGCAACTTAACTAACTAGTTAGACAAAACTGACTTAACAAGAAATAAACAGATTTCTAATATAAATATAATTATTAACTATAGCTATAACTAACTAGTTATACAAAACTGACTTCAAATAAACAGATTTGGAATATAAATATAATTATTAACTATAACCTATAACATAAACAATGTTTCATCTACTCACTTCTTTAGGTTTTATAGTTCTCGCTGTAAAATCATTTATACAATCGGTAAAACAGAATTCGCTCAGTTTATTGTATGATATAAGAAAATCCTTTAACTGAAACACAGTAAAATAGTCATTTAGATCATGGTAATTTATAATACAAAGATGTCATTTATTACCGTTTTGATTTGTTCTCCATCAATATTTTCGATTCCAGTTCCAGGGGGTAGTGGTACACTCATAATGTTTGATTTTTAACTGAATATTTTAAAATCACTTGCTTTTGGAATCAAAGTCAAACTCTAAAAAAGGTTATGAATGAATGAATTTCATGAATTTTGTGAGTAGGTTATGGTTATGTCATTAAACTCTTCGTTTTTATTTCTATAATTTTTGAATATTCTTAAGACACTTAAAAGTCAATTGTGAAACATCAAATTTTCATTGTATTTTGTAATAAAATTGAATAAACTAAACTAATATCTACAACCAATATTTGATGTAGGTGAATATATCATTTACCATCTAAGATCAATTGTTTTTAATCAATTTATCATCTAGATTAAAGATTATTTTCTAATTATTGCAAATTGTATTAAACCATAATTAAGACGGATTACTTATATGAAAAGTGAAGAAAGTGGATGAGATGAAGGAAGAAGAAGGTATTAACCTAAACCTAAATCAAATGTCAACAATGTTTATGTTGATATTATTATCTTGATATTTTACATGTTTGGTCGATAATTTTAAAAGTTACGTAAAACATATTATTTTAAATAACAAGATGGGTCGAAAAGTAACAATTGCAGCTTCTACTCTAAATCAGTGGGCTTTAGATTTTGAAGGAAATCTAGACAGGATTTTGCAGTCAATTTTAGAAGCAAAAGAAGTTGGGGCTACATTTAGAACAGGACCTGAATTAGAAATAAGGTATAAGAAGATAATATAATATGCTTAAAATTGATACTGTTATTGTTAAGTATCGTTATACAAACTTTTCAATATACTAAATTACTTTTTAATTAATCTAATTTTACCTAAACTTATAATTTGTTTTTTAAATATGATTTCATGATAATACAAGATTAATATCTTCTCTAAAATCTAAAATTGGTTTTTTGCTAATACAGAACCAATTATTTTGCCTGATTTTTACAATTGTTGTCTTCTAATCACTAATATCCTACTACTATAAGTCCTTGAACTATCTTGCATCTTGTAAGATTCTTATTTAATTCTCTTTTTTCTTTTGCTTGATACTCCTACATTCATTATATGTTTTGATAACAGATCAAATTTATAATCATTGTGTCTACAGCATGGTAACTATTTTGTACATATTATCCACTATTCATATATTTTTAATTTTGGACTCTTTGAACTTTTATTGTGGACTTCTCACAAGCTTACAATACATTTTCTACACATTCTTGTCTCTATTGGTAGAATTCAATCACCTGTTACTAGTTAAATCTTATGTAATTATGTGCCATATTTACTGATTTTACAGTACATCTACCAATTTAGCAGTTTATTTCCTAATCTACTGAAAATACTTAATTTGTACTGATTTTCATTATTTTTATCATTTTGTTCTATGTGGTACATTTATCCTTTCAAAGTAAAAAAGTACATTTTAAGAGAAATCCACGTATATTTAAGATCTTTTATTTTTGTATATTCTCTGGCAATCTGGAACCTATACCAGTGTTACCTGTTATGTTCCACCAGTTTGTCAAGTTGGCTGGTATCTTAGGTAAGATTCAGACACAGTCTCTGTTTCCAGTAGGGGCCAGTATGTTCCCTTTAAGTTAAATCTATTAACATCTACCTCATGTTGTTTCAATTTTATTATTCAAACTGTGGTATACAGCCAACCCTTCCGCTTTATGAGTTATTATTGAAATATTTGATTTGATTTACACAATTTTCATTTTGTAGTTAATTCAAAAATCTTTGTTTTAGTGGGTACAGTTGTGAGGACCATTTCTATGAAAGTGATACTTTTCTGCACTCTTGGGAAGTCTTAGCAGAACTATTAAATGCACCATTATGTAAAGATATATTAATAGACGTAGGCATGCCTATTATGCACAAAAATGTTTCTTACAATTGCAGAGTGATATTTTTAAATAAAAAAATTTTACTCATTAGACCTAAGAAAATTCTTGCTGATAGTGGAAATTATAGAGAGAGTAGGTGGTTTACTAGTTGGAAAAAGGTATGAAAAAGCTCTATATTATTTTTATTAACAAGACCTTTACATGCATTTAATTTAAATATAAATAATGAGATATGTATGTAAGAGGTTTGTTACAAAATGTTCATAATTTGGCAATGCTTTATTTTTTGTCCTCCAGCTTGTGGCATCATATTTTCTGCTAGAAGAAAAAGTCAGAGGATAAGTACTTTGCTTTTTTTCCAAAAACTGTTGCATAAAGCTTCAATAAATGTGGTGGCCAATTACCTTAATTAAGAAACCAATTGCTATTCAAATAAAAATGGAAACATTATCTTCCGATTGAATCGTTTAAAACTTAAAAGTAAAAGTTTTTGTTTAGTGTAGATCCCAAAGCATATTCATGGTGTACAACTCCTTCATAAAAAAACTATGAAAATGGATGTTCAGATGGGAGCTTGCATTGTGAATACTGTTATTTTGTTGTGTTAATGTATAAATTCACAACTACTTAACAGCAATCTTTTTAACAGTATTTTTTTAGTGACTACTTCCATCTTTTCAGACTGAATTCTAAGTGAATCTTTTTCAGCTTTGCCCTGTGTAGTTGGGGAATAAATTTGACATATATGTGGGTCATTCCCAAACTCTTGGTTAGAATTTTAGAGTTTTGAAATACAAGTTTTCTTAATTAAAAGGTGTATTTCTAGTTCAGGTAGATTTAACTGATATTCTTTAATCGCAAATCTCACATGTTCAATATTTTCCAGTGTTATACTTTTTTTACGTGGCTGGCGAAAGAACTTCAAAAAACACTATCTGGACTGTACCATATGATAGTGTGAAATGTCTACCAACTAAAACCTTTACCCATTGAGTGGCAGAAAAGCTATGTTGGAGTACTTTACCATGCCCCTTTTCACATCATCTGCTCTTCATCACTATAAGTATTCACTATTTATTCTACAACATTGTTGCTGTGTTCTTCCTCACACTTAAGAGTCACTCTTTCTCCTTTATCACATACCATAATACCATTCATGAGATTCCAATCTTAATCGGTACACAGCATCACTCATTTCATTGTCAATCTGTTTCAGTTTAGAGCTGAAACAGATGTGTCCTGTGAACACCTGCCTTAGATAATAGTTCTGTGTTGTATAATCTCCCATTTATAGTTAACAATTAGAGTTTCCACATTAGAAGTTTTAAGTTCTGGATATTTTGAATTTAATTTTTGCATTGTCCTGTTTTGAATATTGTCCTGTTTGAGCCTCCTTGTATTCATGATTTTCTTGGAACTAGAGTTCTTTGCAGTATTTAGTTTCACTCTCATTGTGGCAGAAGTATATGTGCGCTCCTGTATAAGTTTTGGTTGATATAGAATTTCTGTATCTTGTCTTGATGATAATATAATCTATTTGATTGCTATTTTGTTTTTATCTCTGTTAAATTGGTGATCTCCATGTGTATAACCCACATTTATAAAGTTTAAATGAAGTATTTTTGCAATTATGAGTTCTTCACTGATACAGACAGAATTCAACTAACCTATCGGGACATTCATTGCTCTCTTCCAATTAAGATTGCTCCACACAATTCTTAATTCACACTGTTCTCTCTTTCTCTTATCTCTTTCTTGCTGCCTTATTAACAAAATTATTTTGTGGGATCAGATCTCTTTTCATCCATCCACAGTGAAATCTACTCAGTTCGCCCTCTCTTTTAATTCCTGTTACATTTTAGCCACAGCCATAATTGCCAGGCAACATCTGCCAACATAGCACCCCACATTAGTATATATTTGGCACGATGGGTCCCAAGGGGACTAGAAATCTGTATTGGGACTCCCAATACAGATTTCTTCGGAACACCCAGGTTCATATTGAAGTATTCTCCCTCGTTCTCACATATAGTCCTATTATTTATGTAGTCCCCTAACACTAGAGCCAAGTAGTGGGCCATCCCACTTTCGCTCAGCTCTTGGGGAATTTACTCTTTGGGAGCTGAACTGGATGTCACTTTCTATAGACATGTGGCCATTTTTAAACCAAGTGGATCAATCTTTTATCTTTGTTTTGCTCATAAATTCATCTTTATAATGTTTAAGCAAAACTTAATGAATATTGTTGCTCGCATCTCTTTGTTATTTTCAGCGGTAACAAAATGGAATGAACACAAAAAGAACAATTTAAACAAATGTATGCTATTACGAACTAGAGACTTTCTTATGTATGTATTTATGGTATACTGTAAGGTCACGAAGAGTTATTGATTATAACTATTGATAGCCCATGACAGGCGCTTGAATGTTTTGGAGCAAACTTATGATTCCTTTGGAACAGACCTTTTATTTCATATTAAATGGAAGTTTTATTATACTGAAAGTTGTATATTTGTGTGATCTTTTTTTTGATTTTAAAGTTTTGTGCAAGAATAAACTGTTGTAAGTTTAATTTTTATTCTCATTAACAGTTTTATGATAACATCATATATAGAGTTTAGTCCAAAGTACAAATGGATTTTTCAAAGTTTTGACAATTATACAGAATTAAAAATACACAAATATTTTCAATTTTTGTTAAACCAAATTATATGGTGGGCAGTCTAAGGCATAAATACAAATTTTTATTTCAGGAAAGACAAACAGAAGACTTTTATCTACCTCGTATGATCTCTAGTATCACTAATCAAAATATTGTACCAATTGGTGACGCTGTAATTTCTACATTAGATACATGTATAGGTAAGGCGTATAATAGATTCTTTGTTTAAAATCGCTCATAATTTTTTTAATTATAGACAATTTTTTTTCATCTTTTTTTAAATAATATGTGGGTCACATAATATTTGAGTCACATAATATTGTAATGTTTATTTTAATTTATTTAAATGTTTCTAGCACTAACACTAAAACACTATTAATTTATAACATTTATAATTTATTAAAACACTATTAATTTATAACATTTATTTATTTGACCATACAAGTTTATTAGACTGACCCCTTAAATTCTAATTTGCCTTATATATAGTCGCCTCATTCTTCGAAACATTTCCAGAACCCAGTGGAATTATGGGGGCTGAAGTAACAATATCATTACATTCTTAAGCTTAAATGAGGTCTGGAGAGAATGATGGAATACGAATTAAGCCCCACGGTTGGGTAACGGCAAAGATAAGTTTTAATATAAAGGTTATTTTCTTCCGTGTACACCTATTAAGGAATGAGAAATATTTCCTCCCTCAACACGTAATAACGGAGCAAAACTAAAGGAAAACGCTGAAAAAGAGTTTTAAAAAATTGTTATTTTGTGCATTTGGGAGAGCAGTATTATAATGATATCATGATCTGACCACTGTATTCTTCAATTATTATGTTTGTAGCCTGCACACTGATTAATACTAGGAAGGCAACTACTTCGAGCAATCAGTAACAAGTTAACAATCTTAAAAGTCACTTCACAGGTGAAACTACTCGTGCCGCCTTAACTTTTTAATTTTATTACCCAACGCTCCAAGACATTTATTGTTAATTCCGTTTAGAAAGATATGAAGGAAGCTTGGTTAGATTACCATAAATCTTTTGCTGGATATTTATCATGTCTTTAGTTTTATCGCAGTTACGTTTTATTCTATTTTTTTGTAGTTTTACTATTTGTTATCTTTATAAATTTTCCAATTCCAGTCAATCAATTCCAATATCCAGTACTAGGATAAAAACTTTGATAATATGATATCCTCTTGACTAACGCACTGTTCTATTTTATTTTATACTTTGTTCTATTGGCTTAACAGATAATTGCCTTTTCATATATAATTATCTTTAACATAATTTCTCTTTCAGGTTTTGAAATATGTGAAGAACTCTGGTGTTCAAGCAGCCCCCACATTCCTTTATCATTAGATGGTGTTGAAATTATATGCAACGGTTCAGGTAGCCATACTGAATTAAGGAAAAACTATGTGATAGCCGATTTAGTTAAGAATGCTACTATGAAATGTGGAGGTTGTTATGTATACAGTAATTTAAGAGGCTGTGATGGTCAAAGAGTTTATTTCGATGGAGTTTCTTGTATTACATTGAATGGGAAAGTTTTAAATAGAGCTAAACAATTTGCCTTAAGTGAAGTGGTTAGTTTATTTTAAGTTGCCCTTTTATTTAACCATTGTATTATTAAGTATATATTTCGACCGTTACGCATTGGTTGGAATTAAAAATTAGACGAGCATTTCTTAAAAAATTGATTTGAACCAACTTCAAAGATCATTAAACGATCATTTAAATTATTATAATCGATTTTTTTAACGTGTTTTCAAACGGTTTGAGTTAATTTTTTTGGATGGATCTTGTGGCTTCTTTGGGTTCTGAAAAATCTATTATGTATACCCTACATCTACATTTATATCTTTCGGATAGGTTTACTATCTCTTAGATAGCCTGTTTTGGGTCGACGTTTTTCTTAAAACAGGCGGTATTTTACACTATTTGTACTCGATTTGTTGCTCAATGTTGCTCTCGGGACTTTTTCAATCTGTGCAGAGCTTCAGTAGTTTATTTTCATCTTCGCAAGTATGGCCTATAGGGGAACCAAGTCCCACAGTTTTCCGCACTTTTATGTCGTCATTTATTCAACTAGGTTTACTTAACCCAAATAACCTTCACGTTCTACATGTAGGACGCTAATTTCAATAATTTCTGCACACACTACTTGTGTTGCGGTTGCAAAAAAAAAGTAAAATATGGCTGAGCATGGAATCAGATTTGCAAGGTAAGAAATTAATATTATATTCATTATGTTATTTATACATAAGTGTTCATTTATCCAAATGGTGAAATAATTTTATCCAAAATGTTTGCCACATGGCTGCCAGGTGCCACATTTGACCGTACTATATGTAGGCCGTCATGATTACGCACTATTATGGCATGAAAATGATAAATTTGAATAAATATAGTAATCAATGGCTTTCTTTGTTTTTTTTTACTTAGTATTTAGCCCAAAAGAATTTGTTGATCGTGTTATGAACATACCGCTTTTATTATTTCAAACGTTTTTCTTTACATGAGTCTTTGGAGATGTTGAAAGAAGATGAATTAGCCCATTCTCAAGCTGATGTAGTTCTGTTACCTCCGGAACATGCCGCTGAGACAGCTGAGGATTCTGTTGAAGAAGAAAACGTGTCTCCGTATAATTTGCCTTCAAACATGTTGAGAACTGTAGCTGAAATCCATGTGCCTCATTCGGTTGACTCCGACTCGGATGATGATATTCCAGTATCAAATTTCGTTAAACCTGAGAAAGTTCACGACAATACCAGTGGTATGAAGTAGCAAACATCTCAGAGGAAGCAGAAATACTTGATGATTGGTCAAACGATAATGATCTCAATACTGATGCAGAAAATACTCCCATAGACTGGTTTATGAAGTTGTTTGAAGACATTTTTGATTTACTGGTTGTCGAATCCAATAATAATGCAAGTATTAAAAATAAGAAAAATAAGCCTATATGTATCCAAGAAATGAAAGCATTCGTAGGAATTCTTATTCTTATTGGTTACGCTCAGTACCCAAGGAAAAATATCTATTAGGAAAAAGATAGATATGTTTGTAATAAACCTAGTTTCTGGGGCACTTTCTAGGGATAGGTTTGATTTTATAATGAGTGTTCTGCATATTGCCGATAATAATAATTTGGACCATTCTGACAAATTCAGTAAAGATAGACCTCTCTTTAGGTTACTAAATCAAAATTTTTTTAGTTTTTCAAATTATAAAGGGTAAACCGATAAGATGGGGATATAAACTTTGGGTTGGGTGTAGCAACAATGGGTACGTGACGTGGTTTGGACCATACCAGGGAGCATCAACACACGTGTCGCCTAAATACAAGGATTTTGGTGTAGGTGTAGTACTCAGTTATGTTTCAGGATCAATTGAAGGTGAGAGCTGAAAAAATTTGATTTATTTTTTGATAATTTTTTCAGTACAATGCCTTTATTTAAAATGCTGACGGAAAAAATATCAGAGGAACGGGAACCATAAGAAGTAACGTCAAGTAATACCAAAAAATCCTCTGAAATCAGCAAAGGAGTTGCAAAAAGATAAAAGAGGTTTGTATGATGCTAAGTTTGACGTAAATAAGAAATTGACAATCGTCATCTGGCACGATAATAGTCTTGTATCTATCGCTATGCTCGAACGCAGTTGGTGCGAATTCTATTCATCAAGTAAAGCGATACTCACGGCAAGAAAAAAAACCATATTTGTTTCTCAACCATTTATGGTAAAATTATATAATCGAAATATTGGCGGCGTAGATCGATGCGATCAAAACGTAAGTTTATATAGAACTAGTATTAGAGGAAAAAAAGTGGTACTTGTTTGTTTACTCACTGTATCGATTTGGCTTTCGGTCCGGCTTGCAGACGCGGAAATAAGAATACAGCCGGGCCCTGTCGTAAGAGGCGACTACTGGGAAGGTATGAAGATGTGGAAAGCCGTCGTTCGAGGTGTCGGATTTGTAGAAACGCACGCAGGGCGCTTCAGCATTACGGTCACCGGTCTAGACTTTTAGTATCTGAGACGAGCCTCTCGTGGAACCACTCTACTCTCATTCCACAGAACCAGGTGAGGTTGAACGTGCCGTATCCCTGATACACCGTTTCCCCATTAAGGGCGTGGGGTTACGGCACCTACCCACCTGGGTTATTTAAGAGTGGTAGAGGAGAGCTCCTCAGCGGCGACCTCTCAAACGTCTGCTTTCACCCTACCGCCCGAGGGGGGTATAACGGATGGTGTACGTACCACAACACAGGTACTACGGGGAGGATGGACTCCGTGTTACTTTATGTAATCACGCCACCCTCATATGGTGTCGGACTCGTAGGGGTAGTGGTTCCGCTAATGGTCGAATGCCGAAAGGCCAGGTAGTCCAGGGTCCAGCCAATGTCTTTACATTAGAGTGTACACGAATTTTCTCAATGTATCGATTTGGCTATACAGAATGCTTGGCAACTACACCGAAGCAATCAGGGCACATTGGATCAATTAGCTTTTCGACGACGCATTGCAACTTCACTTCTTGAACTTTATACAAAAGCAATTTTATCTTCTTGTGGACGGCCAAGACGAAGAGAAAATGCCGATTCTCGTTTCGATGGAATGCACTATTATATGATTGACCAAGAAAAAACAATCGAGATGTCGCTACTGCCATAAAAAAAAACCACTTCAAGTTGTCAAAAATATGATGTTTGTGTCCATGTACGCTGCTTTGTGAGTTACCACACAAATGGTAATACTTGATCCTGACGTAGGTGTAAGACAGTAATTTTTTTTGTGTACGTTGCCATTTTTTGAAATATTATTTCAGTAATGTACTCAGGTATTTCAAATAAAAGATATTAATAACAAAAAATTGCAGTTTTAATACAATTTCTTATGTCAGGGATATTTGGGTAATCCACAACCTTTTTTATACACAAGTGTTCAATCACAAATGAAATCCCTTAATTTGTAATCTCACATTAATCTTAACTTCTTATATAGGTACCTATATAATATTTTACCTATTTAATGGTAACAGATACTTTAATTATCAGGTTATTTACCTTCTGGTAAATAACCTGGTAAATAAATAGCAATTTACAGGAAATAAAGTGCCGCATAGGAAAGGCAAGAACGGTCTTTAACAAAATGAGCGCCATCTTCAAAAGTCACAACATATCCCTTGATACAAAAATGAGACATTTGAGATGCTATGTTTTCTCTGTGTTGTTGTACGGGGCGGAGGCATGGACGCTTACAGACGCCACTATTAAAAAACTTGAAGCATTTGAGATGTGGCTTTATAGAATGCTAGAGAATGCTGAGAATATCATGGACAGCAAGGATCACGAACAAGGAAGTTCTAGGAAAATGAAGAAGGAACCAGAGATTGTGTTTACGATCAAACGCATAAAATTGCAATATCTGGGACACGTTATGAGAAATAAGCACCGTTACTCCCTGCTACAGTCTATATTGCAAGGTAAAGTCAAAGGTAAGCGAGGACCCGGTAGAAGGAGAATATCATGGCTGCGGAATTTAAGAACATGGTTTAAGAAAACCTCAACGGAGCTGTTTCGAGCCGCAGCGAGCAAGGTTATGATTGCCAATATGATTTCCAACATCCGAAACGGATAGGAACTAGAAGAAGAAGAACCTTCTGGTAAAATTAGATCAATTGCTAAATCATGTTGCAATAATTTCATAGTGCGAATTATATTTGTGTAAGCACCTAGGTACAAGTTCATCGAGCAAAAAGATAAAAGAGGGAATCTAATCGTTATGAAAAGGAGACCAAAAAAGTGGCCTCTGATGGCGGACATATCCGGAAATGCAAAGGCGCTAAATTTAAATTTTCCAACACTTGTTAACAATACCTGTAAAATATTTTTCAGACAAGAAAGTTTTAATTAAATATCAACGATAATAGTCTAAAAAGTGACATAATTGGTAAAAAACTTCAATATAAATAAAATTTCATGTGACAGTTGGGACAAACAATAACATAACCAAACTAAATTTGACTTCTTAAACAAGGAAAGACAGTCTCTTTCCTTGTTTAAAGTGGCCTCTCAAGATAGCACTTCCTGTCTAACAATATTTTTGTCCCCACTACCTTTACATTTCCTCTTTTATCTTTTTGCTCGATGTACAAGGTACAGGGAAATGGTATTTTTGATGAATTGTAGTCAAAACAATTAAAATTTACAATGTGCATACGACGATACCGTACATACGTCGGTGTCGTCGGGAGGATCAAAAGAAACCCTGGCAGTAGGGATGTGTAGTTCACCATCGAAATAGTTCTAATGAACGATTCTTTCAACTGAACTAATTGAACTAGTTCATTAATTTTCATAGAACTAGTTCACTGCGAACGATTTGCATTATAAATTATGTCTCGACTTCTAAAGAAGAAAATAATGAATGAATGAATTAGAACATATATTTATTATTTTGTGAATGGATAGAATAACTAGTTTAAAAAAAATGTCGATTAGCCTCAGATAACAGATTCATAATTCTTATGAATGTGACAATACCATAAGGTCTTATCTTAATGTCATAATGGTTTGGGTCTTATGCCCATGTATTGGCTTGGATGTTGCCATACTGTGTTGTTTCTTGTATTGTAATTTTGAAATAAAAATTTTAGTTGTGGTTAAAATGATTTTGATAGGTCTTATCTTAATGTCATAATGGTTTGGGTCTTATGCCCATGTATTGGCTTGGATGTTGCCATACTGTGTTGTTTCTTGTATTGTAATTTGAAATAAAAATTTTAGTTGTGGTTAAAATGAGGCATTTACTTAAAATATAATTTTATGTAAAAGTGAAAATGAAAATGTGTTATTTAATGTTCTAGAAAATTCACTGATTTTTTTTGTAAAGGTTCTTTTAGAAATAACCTAATTATAAATACCTATGAGTTTAAATATACGTAAATATAAAAATAAATCATATTTGAACCATATTTATATTTAAAACGGTCAATAAAAAACAAATCTTAATAATTTTTTGCAAATAAAAACTAACTAATCATATAATAATTTAAACCATTTAAACCTAAACATACGATCGAAAGAAATAGTTCCGAACTACTTGTACGGTAGTGAACTAGTGAAAGACCGACTGAAAGAAAGAAATAGTTCCGAACTACTTGTACGGTAGTGAACTAGTGATAGACTGACTGAAAACCGAAGTAAACGGGCGGCCAGCGTCGAGCTTGTGTTATGATTGAGACGAGACATCTGGCAACCAGTTCTGTTAGGGTTGGATTTCGATGTCGGTCCTACAAATAGTTCTTTCGCGAACTAGTTCACTGAACTAGTTCATATTTGTGAAATAGTTCTGTTGAACTAGTTCGTCTAAAAGAACTAATAAGCACACCTCTACCTGGCAGTTGAGGTCTATGTAAACCCGCACGACTATTGAAAACGGGCAGGGTTTCTCTAACACCGTCCAAGTGTAGCTGAATAAATATTTCGGCTGGATACAAGTAATTGTGTATAATTACTTCGGATTATTCCTTCGATTTTTTTATATATTTCCATTAAGCGGTGGTTTTTTGTTGTTGTGTGTATTTAAATAAAGTACTTTTTACTCAGTAGAAATGTATTTCAATTATAAATAGTATACTTTTAAATTGTTTGATAGATAATACAATTACTATTTATTTGCTCTTTGCTTGTATAAGAAAAATATAATTTAAAATAGTTAATCCGTGATCACCGGGTGGCTGCTTTGTCAGCAGTTGAAATGTAAAGAGTGGTGTGTCAAGAGCTAAAATGCAAGAGAAAGAAATTCTCTCTGTGCAATCTTTCGCAGACTCAAATTTTGAACCGCGCGATGCTGCAGCGAGGGGTAAGACCTGGGAGCGCTGTTGCCAGTTTGGATTAAGTCCAAACAACTATTGACAACAAATTGAGCATGAGTGAGGACGCGCAGGGGTGGTCGTGACTGGAAAAGGGCACGCAACGAGCACGAATATGATTATCGGCCGCTTGTGACTCACATTCTAAAACGAAAAAGCGAGAATGTCGCGTTACATTCTAACATTTGTGCTTAGACTGTGATCGCTAGAACTGATTCGCCAACTTTTGTGGACACAAAATAGTGAAATAAAAATGTATTTCTATAAGTGTTTTTGATTAATGCCTGCAGTGCGGCAACTAAAGTGTCATAAACCAGCTAATATTATATCCATTGTCTCTTCTTTTTGTAGGAAGGTTTACAATTGATTGGTTCACTAATAAATGTATACAATGTAATGTAAATGTAAAAAATTTCTTTAAAACTCTTAAATATTAGATACTTTGTATACAATTGAAGTTATTAGGTCCAAGAAAAATATTTTTAAAAAATATAAACTTTATTTACAAGGGACTTCTTACTACAATGAATGAAATATAAAAAGTGACGCTGTTCAAACAAAAGCAAAATTTATAATGTCGGTGAAGCTTGCTGACGCCGCTTATTAATTTAGTTGAACTAGCAGTTCTTGTTTCATAACTTACGTATTTATCGTTTTCATTTTCTATACAACTAACTTCTGTTAAATTATAATTATATAACTAACTTCTGTTAAATTATATTAATGCCTGTTTAATTATTAAAATTCTTTTTAGGAAGTTGTAGCATCTACTATCGACTTAGAAGATATTCGTTCTTATCGCAACAATCGCCGAGCGAACGCACATTTGGCTTCCTCAACACCTAGCTATCCAAGGATCAACGTAGATTTTTCTCTATCTCCCGAATACGATACTGGCCTTCCATCTGCCAATCCGATAGAATGGCACTTTCTTGAACCAGAAGAGGAAATAGCTCAGGTTAGTTTTGTTTCATAATAATATTATATATTATGAAGGGTTGGCGTCAGCGGAAGTGAAGTAAGATTTCTGCAGTTGTCGTATGAATACTCAGTTGTGGATTAGGCGCCAGCGTTCGTGTCACTAAATGTACTACTATTTCCGTCCAAGCTGTTTTCTATTATTAAAACCCAATTGAAACATCCGATCCGACAATGCAAATCCCTATATAAATCAGAACACCAGGTATATATAGTGACCAATTTAATTTAAGGAATTTATACTAATTATTAGACATCTTTAATCAACTTTTCTCTCATTGTAGGGACCAGCTTGTTGGTTGTGGGATTATTTAAGAAGATCAGGACAAGGTGGTTTTTTTCCTACCCTTGAGTGGTGGTGTGGATTCGTCAAGTACTGCCATTATTGTGTTTTCCATGTGTAATCTTATAATGGAAGCCATCCATCAAGAAGCGGGTAAGTGATAATGTAAAAATCATTAAGCGTAAAATTTCAATGATTCTCTTCTGAATTTTTCAAGGTCAGTTTGAACAAACTTTAATTTGGATTGGTCGAAAAATATCTAAAGACAAATGACAGTCAGCAGTTAGACATACGTAATGAAATTCATTTTCCTTTTTTCTTTGGTTCTTCCTATTTTGTTATAAAATAAAAATGAAAATTTTAAATATGAATGTGAAGCATCCACATGATTATAAAAAATCCTTTCAACCTTTTTATTTTCATTGTGGATAAGAAAATTTTAAATCGTCAATCAAGCAAAATCAACTAATAAATCTGAGAAGGACTTAATAGGCATTTTTTGTAATTATTTATGTTTCCTAAAATCTTCTCATGATCAACACAAAAGGCATACGTTTTCTTGTATTTGTCACCTAATTTTTGAAAAAGATCATTGAGGCATGTAAAATCCCTTTTGTATTAATTCGTTTCGAAACTTCTTCACGCTTCTCAAGTTTTATGATTGAATTATCATCAATGAATGGATCATCATCTTCCTTAACTACATTTCTTTATAAGTTTCTATCTTTGGACATTCCAATATCTATCATCTGTATGGACATGCCCTGCCTAAGTATCTTCTACCAGATCTACTTTGTTCCTCCATTTCTACTCTTTTCAGGAACTTTTCGTATTGGGTGATTTTCATTTCGATGTTAATAACATATACTAATAATCTTAGCATATACTTTCATTTTGCATAATTGGTTCAATTTCTAGACTTTACCTAATATCTCACTACACTGATCCATCTAAGCATTCTCATTCCCGCGACATGCATTCCTTCTTTTTCTTTTTTGTTAAATGTCCAACACAACACCGTAAGTAAAGCTGGTTTAATGGCAGTTTTTTAGCATTTTCTTTCCAGTTTCCGAAATTATCAATTATTATCATTTATAATAGTAACTTAATAATAAAGTGAACAATATAGATACTCTGTTTTGTCCTACTAAATTTTAAATAATTTTGCCCACTTTCCTATTTTTGCTTTGAATCCGTTTCAGTACTTTCTACTAACACTAAATCATCATCATTTAAGCACCAGGAAATGTTACTTTGTATTTTGTTTATCGTATAAACCTGTCATAACACTAGTTGTTTGTCTAGCATTTATCTGTCTTAGCTTGTTCCTGTCTAAAACTGTTTATTTTTTTGAAGAGCCCCTTTCCATTTGTAATTTGGGTGACAATTGCTGTTAATAATTAAGCAATAAATTAATTACTGATCTCAAGGATCTACTTCAATATTGGAGAAACTACATACAGCAACTATACTCAGACAGACAAAACTAGAAAAAAACTCTGAAAGTGAATATAAAAGTCAACCCTTCCCAAATAGCCAAAATATTGAAGTGAGAAGTAGAAAGGGCAATCAAACAGAGCAAATGGGGAAAAGCACCAGGTCCAGACGACATATATATATATATATATATATATATAGAGGTTCTAACAATGTTGAGGGAAGACAATATAGACGCCTTGGTAGATCTTTTTAATGATATTTATGGGTCCGGTCAAATACTACAGAATTGGCTTCAATCAACCTGTATACCAATCCCAAAAAAGCCAAAGGCTAGTAATTACGACCAATTCCGAATGATCAGCTTATTGACCAGGTCCTAAAACTCTTCTTAAAAACAATTCAGACAAGGATTTGGCACAAGAGTAGCACTTTATATCTTAACTGCCCTACTTCAGAAATGCAGAAATTGCAGAGCGTTAGATTGTGTTAATCATTCAGAAGATTTCTGTTACTGTCTCATTTAGTTCAACGGTTTCCGTCAAATTATTCGTTTAATAAACTATTAAAGTACTTTTTTCATCGCTTTTTGACATTCTTTTTGGGAATTATTGTTTTATTCTTTTCGTTTCGGATACATCTAATCTGATTAAAATCTTTTGCTTTCTTTTCTGCTGTATGTTTGGCCATTTGAAATTTTTTTATCGAACTCCCTGAACGTAATCATGAACATACTACAAAATTAACTAACAATTATATACAACATCACATTCACAACTTTATAACTTACGAAATTATAGTTTATTCGTCTTCCGGGTTTGGACCGTGTCATTTGTGAGTGACCCAAAAGTGGGTTCATCTCGACGTTTCGCTACAATTGTATGTAGCTTCTTCAGGAGAACAAAAAAGAGAAAAAAGAAAGAAAGAAGAAAACAAAGAACAGGAAGATGGGTAGTTAGCAACGGTAACTCAGTTACTCAACGCAACCAGAGGCGAATACTAACTACCAAGATGGGCATTTGGTTGCGCCTCTGGTTGCGTTGAGTAACTGAGTTACCGTTGCTAACTACCCATCTTCCTGTTCTTTGTTTTCTTCTTTCTTTCTTTTTTCTCTTTTTTGTTCTCCTGAAGAAGCTACATACAATTGTAGCGAAACGTCGAGATGAACCCACTTTTGGGTCACTCACAAATGACACGGTCCAAACCCGGAAGACGAATAAACTATAATTCTGACTCTGGCCGTGGAAGCCTACGATTTCAACTTACGAAATGTTGTGTTTTATTTCAGAGTGTTATGTCAGAGGGACACATATTCTACGACGAACAAGGCGGCAACTATTCGTCGCACTATTCGTCTTAGAATATGTGTCTCTCTGACATAATTTGCTTTATAAAATAAAACACACTAACCTCAGTTCCGACATTCTATCACGATTTATTACAATTATCTATATACGAGTATATACGTGTAAAACTTTCTTATATGTGTATATTTCAAAATATCTTTTCAATGTGTTTTTAGATCAAAAGGTTTTGTCAGATTTAAGACGCATATTAGCCAGTCCTGATTATACACCAAATAGTGCTCAAGATATATGTAATAGATTATTCGTGACGTGTTACATGGGAAGTGAAAATTCCTCTAAAGAGACCCGGATGAGAGCTGAGAGGCTAGCAGAATTTATAGGAAGGTTAGTATTTTTAAATAAGTAAAGAAATAATAAATAAGACTTACTCACAATCAATTTAATTTAACTATCAGACGACCGGTTTCGCTTTCTACAATATGCAAAGCATCTTCAGGTCTCGATACAAAGTTAAATAAATGATGCCGGTACTCTATTAATTGATGGATGGTAGAACATGGTTGAAACTACTATGTATTGTTGAATGGAGAACTCAATTCTGGTATTGTAGTTGTTTGACAGTAAACGGGAAGTTCTTGAGGAGATAGATTTGATCCAATGAAGCAGAGATATGTGTATGATTGTTTGTTAAATGAAAGTGATGTTATATACCATTGTATTATTTAAAAGTTATTTATACTTGTTCGAGAGATATATTTATGAAATATGTGTTATTTATTGAGTAATTGTTTTATGAAGGTGACAGTTTTATGACAATGAATAAGTTTAGTTAGATGTACAAATTGTGTGGGTGTGCAATTATTTTTCAACTTGTAATTATCAAATTTCATTGATAAAGTTCTATTGGCAAAATAGTAGATTATTGCAAAGTCGAGTAAATAAAATATTAGAATTAAAACAATTAAGGACAATTTAAAACACACTAAAACTGAGTGGCTCTGATCGCTCTGAATATAAAGAGCTTTTCGTTATTCTTAGGTAGAAAACATTTACATAGACACAAACACGCGCGCACGCACGTTTTTTGCAAACTCACTTCAGTCACATATTTGGAACACAGTTCTCATAAACTTAGTAATTTTCTTTATTTTAGCTATCACATGAACATCGTTATAGATACTGCTGTTTCAGCTTGTGTTGAAATATTCACTAAAATAACAAACATGCTTCCACAATTTTCGTCGAATGGTGGCTGTGCAAGACAAAATCTTGCTCTTCAAAATATTCAGGCGAGAATTAGAATGGTTTTGTCCTATCTCTTCGCACAACTAATGCTTTGGACAAGAGGACGACCCGGTGGACTTCTAGTTTTAGGAAGTGCTAATGTTGATGAATCGTTAAGAGGCTATATGACTAAATATGACTGTTCCAGTGCTGATATTAATCCCATTGGAGGAATTTCAAAGTCAGATTTAAGGCGGTAAGTCTTTTATTTATTATCTTAATAGTCTAGTAGTTGTAGTACTAATGATATGTGAAATATGACTTCATTCTGAGATAAGCGGTCTAACGATCACTATCTTGCTTAAGGTTAATGTGTTATCTGGTGACTTATAAACGGAAGATTCCCAGGAGTTGGCTTAGTTTACAAAAACTCACAATGAAGTTTAAAACTTCTAGTGTAATTGGTATAATTTATAAAATTAATGAAATTGTGAATATTATCTAAAAGGATTACAAAATTGTTCAAAACGTTTATGGTCTTTATGTTGCCTTTACATGTGTTAAATGTATTATTTTTAGGTTTATGAATTATGCTAAAACCAAATTCAACATTCCGATTTTAAACGAAATAATTGAGGCTCCACCTACAGCGGAGTTGGAACCCTTAAAAGAGGGAGGAATAGTTCAAACCGATGAAGAAGATATGGGAATGACCTATGAAGAACTTAGCCATTACGGTAGATTAAGGAAAATCGAAAGTTGCGGTCCATTTTCGATGTACTGCAAATTAGTGCAAACGTGGTCTTCGAAATATACTCCGAAGCAAGTAGCAGAAAAAGTGAAACATTTTTTTAGGTAAGCATAGGTAAGATAGTTATAGACGATTTTTTTTTTCAATTTTGGTTAGATTTTATGATGTTAAAGATTTCTTGCCAATTTTTTTCCATGTTGTTTATAATTTATAATTACTCAGTTATTTAAATTACTTCGTAATATTTCAAAAGCAATTTCTTTGCAGATGTTACGCTATCAACAGACACAAGATGACAGTAATAACTCCATCATATCATGCCGAGTCTTACAGCCCAGAAGATAACAGGTTCGACTTGCGTCCATTTTTGTATAGAGCTAACTGGTCTTGGCAATTTCGTGCTATTGATAAACAGGTGAGTAATGTAGCAGCCAATGTTTATGTATCATTGTAGTGCCTATCCGTCACGGATGTAGTGAACCAACGTTTATTGACTGTTGAATTGAAAACTCTCGTAGTACATAAGTTAAAACATTTTTGTTGTGAAGTTGTGAAGTAAGGATATTCCTCTTCTTCCATACATCTTGCAGTATGATTTTAAGCAGATTATAACGTTGTTCATTAGCATTATATGGCCTAGATATTGCGGTTTGCGAAGTTTTATGGTTATAATTATTTTGTGGTTATGATCTCTCCTCATTCTTTGTAGAGCATCTTTATTGGTAACTCTGTCTATCTAAGAGACCAGTAGTATGCTTCTATAGTACCAGATCACAAATACTTTGACTTCTTTCATCGATGACTTAGATAAATTCCACCACGATGGCATTTCTTACAGAAGAACTGTGATGTATGTCGTAAGTTTTTTATGTGAAACATCTAGTCTGGCCGGTCAGACCGGCTGCTTTGGCGGCGACACCTCGCATGTCGTGTACGTGCGTGTAACTCTTCGACTTTCCTTGCACTTCGACTCTGCTCTTTTTCTCCGCGCATAGCTCGTAACTTGCAGTATATGCACTGTTGTTATTCTAATTTAATTATCATCGGCCGATTATCAAAGTTATAGCGTTAGAGACAGCATTGAACTTCTTCTACTTTTTGTAGATCTTTCGATCTGTTTAATTCTGAAGCTGCCTCTGGTTAATTTCTTGGGAGGTAGATTGCCAACTATCCCTCCATCTTTTAGGTGGTCTTCCGGGGGGTCTTGAACCGGGCAGATTGTTTTCTAGGGCAATTTTTGGGAGTCTATTCTCATCCATTCGTCTTACATGGTTGTACCACATCCTCTTGCGCTGCCTTCCCCATCTTACAATATCTTGAATTTTGCACTGCTCTCTAATGTTTGCATTTCTCACTCTGTCTCTTCTTGTTTTCCCCATTATTGTTCTTAGGGTTTTCATTTCGGCAACCCTTAGCATCTGTTTCGTTTTGTTGGTATCTTCGCGCACTTCTATGCCATATGTCATGATCGGTCGTATGCAAGTCTTATAGATTCTAATTTTACTATCTGTGCGCATATACGGATTTGACCAGACTATCTCCCGCAGACATCCTGACAGTGCAGATGCTTTGTTGATCTGACTCCTCAGGTCCTTTACTGGGTCGTGGGTGCTTGATATATCTATGCCCAGATATCTGAATTGCATCACCTGTTCTATGGGGTTGTCCTCAACCACTAACTTACATCTGAGCGGATCTTTTGCTATTGTCATACATTTAGTTTTGTTGGTAGAGATGTTCATATTTAGTAGTCGGCTTGTTTGAAAGAACTGAAAGAGCTGCCTTTGGAGATCATCTTCTGATTCGGCAATAATTGCTGCATCGTCTGCGTAACACACCATACCAATTCTTTTGTTGCCCATTCTATATCCGAGATTAAGAGATGTTACTTTGGGGCTTAAACTGTCGCCTTGTCTAATTCCTCCCGGTGTTGGAATATTTTCAGTGAATTCGTCTCCTGCTCTAACTTTGGTTACGTTGTTGTTATTTAGGTTATGGAGTATCTTTGTTATACTGGTCGGTGTTTTATTTTCTATTAATATATTTAGAATGTCTTCCAGGCGAACTCTGTCAAATGCCTTCGTCAAATCAATGAAGCAAATATACGCTTGCATGCCGAACTCTATAGCTTTTTCTTTTATTTGTTTTATTATAAATACTGCGTCTGTTATAGACCGCCCTTTTGTAAAACCTTGTTGTTCTTCAGCATTAGTGATTTGCTTTTCCAATTTGTCCTTGAGAATACCCGTGAAAAGTTTCATTGTTGTATTTAAGAGGGTTATTCCTCTATAGTTTTTTGGGCAGATTTTTTGTCCTTTTTTAAATATGGGGATTGTGATACTATTATGCCATTCCTCTGGTGTTTCTGTTTTGTTTAATATTTTGTCAAATAGTTGTGCCAGTTTACTTGCAAGTTCCGGGCCTCCATTGAACTAATTTTGTAAATGTAACACCTTACAGTTTTGAAGAATTTTTGATTTTAAATACAATATGTATTTTTAACTCACAGACAGTTCCCAATACGTTGGCCCAAAAATAAATATGACAAAAACAAAACACTGACAAACAGACGATTCCAGACGTATAACTATAAGTCCATGAGTATATCTACTTATGCCAAATTCTGAAAATTCTTAAGGACTGCAAAATACCTAAATACTTGAGGTAAAGTGTTCAACCAGTACAACCTTTCTATCATGATATATGAATGTCAAATCTGAACACTAACCAAGACAAATGTGAATAAACTAGCCACAATACAAAGGGCAATCGAATGAGCAATCTTAGAAGGTATACGACTGTCGGATAAAAAGAAGAACGACTGGATAAGGTCAATAACAAGGGTCGAAGATATCACAACAATAACTGCCAAACTCAAAGGAAGATCACATACGAGATGGGTAGATGGCATAAAGAGAGTAGCCGAAACAAATTGGAAGTATGTTGCCCAGAATAGAGAACTATGGAAGGAGTTGGGAGAGGTCTATGTGCAAAAATTTGCGACAGAAGCTAAGATGCGCCTCTTTTTTTTCTTTATGATGAATGCTGTTCTTATTTGGCATGGACATGTACACAGAATGGCAAACCATCGTTTACCGAAGTTGGTTGGGCCTTCCAATCCGATTGGATTGGAAGGCCGAAAACAACATGACTTAGGAGACCAAAAGGCAGTGTTAGAGAGAGATCTATGACCAGGAGACTGGATCGATAGACGTGAATGAAGACTGGAAACCGGAAGACACATGATGCTCTAAACCGGACATTATATATTTATATATGAATACTGTTCAACCATGCTTTATTTCAGTTGAACGTTCCAATTCGTCAGCGGCTCTGATTTTGTTCACTCGATCTCCAAATATTCCTTCGTCAGTATCTCTCAAGGTTCATAATTACAAAGTTGGGATAAAGTATGAAACCAACTAAATATCTATGAAACAAAAAAGAGGCCATTCTTGAAACTTACATCCAAGTACAATGACACAATGCATCTGTCGCACTATTTTTTATCACTACGCTACTTCTGGTTTCATCGGAAATACCCTACAATTATTTAAGATAAAAGGGACATCCTGTATATTTTTAATCATTACTCGCATTGGTGTAAATAAATTTACCACAAAATATTTTAAAAAGAATCACGACAATAGAACAGAATGAAGTTCAACTATAAAGGAATATCATTGCTAAAAAGGCTCTGTTAATATAATGTATTTGAACCATTTTAGATACGTGCATAATTTAACCGAATTTTATATGGTATAGGTGAGTGTATCCGTTTTTCGTACCGCATGATATGGGTTCGATTCTCACTATACAATCTCAAATTAATAATAATAATACAATATAACAATTGTCAATCTTATCTATAAAAATATCTATCTAGAAATCAAAATGATAAACAAGGAAAACTCGACTTTCGAAATAAGTACACCATTGATATAGTAGTGGGGCTGGCTGCCTTTGGAAAGCTATCATATGTACTTAAAATGATCAAAATACTCCAAAAAAAATACCTGTTGAACTCGTTGTAGATTAAAATGGAAGTTGGCTCGACATAACTAGACGCTTTGAAGATGGTAGATGTAATAAAGTAATAAGAAACTAGCGACATTAAGAAGTGCGAAAAGAAGGAAGACTCCAAATGCGGTCGAGCAGCGACTTTGGCGACTACTGGTGGACCATTGTGGAAACGACTTACACAAGACATAAGGGTCGAATGAGCTGAGCAGGGTGGTGCCTATATTCGGGCTACCCGGTAGAAATACCTATTGCAAAAATTTCTATACTGTCACTTGTTACAATATTGCCCTGGCCGATGTTGTTCCTCTCAACTCCTTATTACTTTAGTATCCCCATGAAAATTTTGTAATTTGCTATTTTATCTGATGTTATTTACTCATATATTTTTTACTTGTAGGTTGCCTATATTGCTAGTATGAAGAGAACGGGATCTACAGATTCTACACAGAGCTCAAAAAGCAAAAAAAGTGGTGATCCTCCAAGCAGAATTAGAGCCGGAATAACAGTTTAATTTTGTAAAAGCTAAAAACTTCACACGGTATTTTAATTTGTGTTTTATGATTTCACATACGAGATTTTAAAATTGAATTTTAATATTATTTAATATGTATACCTACTGTTTTAAATATGCTAATAGTTAAAATTTCATTAAATTTTTAGATATTCTTTTTATTTTGATGCTTTTTATTTACACCATTGTAATAATATTTCCAGTAATAAGTATCTTTGGTTGATTCATGCCATTACTTATAGCATTACTTATGATAGCATGAAGATTTGGATAAGAACAGAAGAGAATCTAAGCGAAACAGACAAGAGGGAAGAGAAATCCTGGAATATGGTATAGATCCTCACCACATATCTATAAACTATAAGGCAGCCTGTGACTCTGAAAAGAAGAGAAATGTTCAGAGCAATTAAAGAACTAGGAGTTGGCAACAAAACTAACCCTTGAAAAAGTTGAATGTAGAATACGAACCGGGGGAACTGTCTCAACCTTTTAAAACAAATAACGGGAGACTATCTTTTTGCTTCTGCTTTCGACGAACTTTACCTTTTTTGTTGCATCTGCAGACATTTTATTCGCTCGTAATTCGATTATCTGCTGCAAATGCAAAATTATGAGAACTTGACACTGTACTTATTCCAATTTCTATGTAAGTACTGACTCACCTCACTCACTTCGTCACACTCTCACCAAGCCTACTCACTCACTCACCTCAATCTCACTTACTCACCTTAATCACTCATCTTACTCACCACTTACCTCATTCACTCCTAAACGCCTATAACTCCATCAATTTTGCTTCGACCACCCTAAAATTTTAACTGGATATTTTTGAAGAATTATCCTATCGAACAAAAAAAAAAATAAAAAAACCTATCCCATCTCCTCTTAAGATACGACGTCTGTGGCGGTTAGAACATGTACAAGACATTGAGAGGTTGTCTTAAGTCCAATCTTTGTTCAATTCTCTTTCAGTATTTTGTGCCCTGCTCGATTATCGTAAGTTGGTCACCCAATTGGCTATATTACTTTGTTGACGACAGCTCGGAAAGGGATCCAGAGGATCTTTTAAAACATTCTCTCGGGTTTGCCCGAGAGCTATGCTGTTCGTCTTCCATCTATCTTCTTCCTCTTTATAAGCAAATCTGCTTGTTCATTAGCGGATTAATACCTATATGGAAGGTGTCACTCCATATTTTATGGTTATTCCATTCTTTTTTTCTATTTTTGTGTCCCTCATTTATACACTGTATGTTACATTCTCTTCTGTCTTCACTTCGCTTTCGATCTCTCAGCGCATTTTCTGTAATTCTTCTCAGTATACTCATCTCTGTCGTTTCTAGTAGCCGTTGCGTTGTGGCTGTGTCAGGTCTTGTTTCTGAGACATATGTCATTATTGGTCTTACACTGGTTTTATAAACTCTTGACTTCATCTGTGTTAATGTATCTGTTTCGCCATATAGTGTTATTAAGGGATCCTGCCAGTCTCTTTGCTTTTTGTAGTTAATCTCTCACTTCTTTGTCCAGACCTCCATAGCTAGACAGTGTAATTCCCAGGTATATTATTTACATTACGTGTTCAATACCGATGCCATTAATTTCTATTTTACATCTAGTTGGTTCTTTGCTGACTACTATTGTTTCTGAGATCAGATTGTCATATTAAATTCTCTTACTCTTACATTAAATCTATGGACCTGTCTTTCACCACACTTCTAAGAGTATTGAAGTGCTACATATATCTAACGAACGTGTGCTAGAGACCGTGCACAAAGAGCGAGCATTGATCAACATCATCAAAATGAGAAAGGTGCAATACTTCGGTCATATAATGAGAGGATCTAAATATCGCTTACTTCGGTTAATCATTTAGAGCAAAATCGAAGGAAAACGTTGGGTCGGAAGAAAACAACTGTCCTGGCTGCGTAACATTAGACAATGGACAGGTCGAACGGTCGAGGAACTGTTTCATCTAGCTGCCGACCGAGAATCATTTCATCAGCTTGTCAATACGACCATAGCCAACGCTTGAATACAAGCACGACACACAAAGAAGAAGAATCTATTATCCAGAAGATGGATTACATCTTTGAGTCTTACTCTGTCAAACGGTTTCCTCTTGTCAATCAGACACAGAAATGCGAGTCTATTATACTTTAGTGATTTCTCAGTGATTTGCTTTATAACGAATATTGCATCTGTTACCCAGGGGTGGCCAACCCGTCGATCGCGGGCAAGGAAAAAAATATCGGAAAAATAAAATAAATATTACGAAAATTATTGGAGTGCTAGCAATCTTGCATCGATCATCGCGGGCGACTTATGAAGTGTCCACTCTGTACATGATACTATAAATGTTATAATATATTATGTACTATATAGTGACTATAAATTTTTATCCCGCTAGCGTAAGAGCGAATTACATCATGGTCGATAATGGTAAAAGAAAATTGTTACGGCTTAATCTGTAACTGAAGCTTCATTCTTAGTTTGTTATGAAATTGCGCAAAAGTGTAAGCCGTTTTCTGATGAAGAATATGTAAAAGAAATATTCGAAGATTTATCAGATTTATTGTTTGTTAATTTCACAAATAAAAATGAAACACCCGTTAAAATCACCAATAATTATTATATATTCATCATTTGGGGTCATGTTTATGACAGTCTGACGGTGTTCTTAGTTTTCCCTTGTGGTACTATCTCTGTTGTTCTCTGTTGCATAGATTGCTATCACATTCAGAGGTTTGATATCCAGTTTAACTGTTACACTTACTATTTTTACTTTTAGAGTTATATTTACATTCTTATACTTGGTGTAAAAATTTTCTGTGTACTAACAGGGCTACTCCTTCTTTGGCTCTGGTTTATTTCGCATAACCACTGTAAATCATCTAGCATAATTTGACCTTTTTCTTTTTTCTTCGTCTCTTGTAGTGCACATTGTAGTCTACATTTTTTTCTACAAGCTCTTTTGTAATTTCTTGTTCTCTTGTGTTTAGAGACTTTATCTATCTTGCCTTACGCCTTAAATAAAGTATATTATATCTCTCTGGGTGACACGTAACATGACCAAAATATTCCAGTTTGCGATTTTTGACTGTTCTGACTACTTCCGTAAATTTTCCCGTCAAAAGAACCTACAATTTGTACATTTTTGTAAATCTCCTTTAGTTTTATATATGGATGCTAAGGTACGTCCTGCTTTTCCATTCATGTGGCATTTGTTCTATTTAGATAATTATATTAAACAAATTATGTCATCTAAGTTGTGTTTGTCTCTCTTATTTGAATACTTAAAAATTTGTGTCCACAATTCTCGAGGATATTATGTTCTTCAATTGCTTCAATTTTCTATATTTATTGTATTGCTTAGTAGTATACTTATTGTTAAATTTCTTTTCCTGATATAATTTTTTATATATGTTAATTGCAGTATCTACGAATACGGCATATTTGTGCAAATTATATTAGGTTTTTCCTTCATTTTCCAGCTAATTTGTTCTACTATTTTTGCTCGGAATAACCCTTCTTTCGTATGTTTTACCATTCACTATTTGATTTTGTGTAGTTCTCCCCAATATTTTGCTTTTGTTTCATATCTTCTTTCAATGTTCAGCACAAGCAACTGATGTTGGCTTACGGTGCCATTTGGGCTATGTTAACTACTATCTTGCATTAACTGTCTCTTAATCAATATAAACTACAAATTTATTTTTGTGTCTAATGTCATTTCTTACCTACAATTTTTAGTATTTTTAATTGTATCGTAAATAAAAAAAAAAGATTACAAATTAGGAATATAATTTATTCGTATAACAACATTAGGAAATTACATATTTTGTTCTACATTGAGTAATAACTGAGTGTGAACTGATAAAAATACAAAAAAGTTAAAAGATCAGACGGAAACTTTAAAGCTAAATTTTAAATAAAATAAAATAGGTATAAAATCTTGATCATACTCAGTTCATTAAAGTTAAGTAAAAAATATACAATAAAAGAATCGTGAATACTGTAACGTAAGAAAAGAATATAAATAATATTAAAATTCATCTCAACATCTCTAGGTACACTGGCAAACAAATTAAATAGTACACACTACACAACTATAAGATAAACAAATAGGTACTTAAAAAGATATACTAAATATTTTCTATGTACAAACAACACTCATTCCAAAAATAACAAATTCTCACTCTAACAAAATTTAAATGTATTGCATAATTTGTTCGTTGTTATATATGAAGATCACAACATACTTATCTCTGTTTATCAAAGTGTGAAGATTCTGCAGCACCATAGTGTTAAACATATCTCTCTATGAAGCACCAGAATGTCTATAATGGAACGTATTAAAGTCTAGAAACAGTTTTTCCCACTTTTAACTATTTGAATGAGAACAACCTTATTTCATTACAAAATTGTTAACTGTGGACAAAAGTTACAGCTAACATATTTTTTTAAAATGCATCTTAAATATATTCTATCTAAACATTATTTAAAAAGGTTCTGAAACTAATTTCTTGTGGCATGTCAAGGTAAATATTGTGTGTTTACCTAGATTATATGTTTGTGTATTGTGTGTTGCATATGCATTTTTTTCATTGGCGTTTCTCTTTTTTATGTCTGTTTATTTCATATTATTGATGAAATCGAAACGTCACTTTTAGCTAAAAATGTAATTTTCATTAGGTACAATAAATTATGGCTCTTTCATATAAATACTTTTCTGTTGAGTATATATGTTTGTGTATTGTGTGTTGCATATGCATTTTTTTCATTGGCGTTTCTCTTTTTTATGTCTGTTTATTTCATATTATTGATGAAATCGAAACGTCACTTTTAGCTAAAAATGTAATTTTCATTACAATAGATTACGGCTCTTTCATATAAATACTTTCCTGTTGAGATATTAGATTATTTTAAATTTTCATATTTCAACACAATTTTGGTCGCCCTCCTTGGCCTGGATAGGATTCCGAGGACACACTTACATATAGGAAGAAATTCATAGAAGAACACAGTATCCGATGACTTTCCCTATCGACTAGCCTTAGTGTAACAGAATCGCGATCGTTATTTATCTCTCCTATCTAATTTACCTTGCTTCGTAAGCTCATCGCTTATGAAAGGCAGAAATAGTCAAATATTGCGATGCCAATTAAATCGCATATTATACTGCAGTCCATGGTTTTACTCTGCCCGCATCTACAAATCCGTCAATAGTTTTGCTTGTTTCTTGTATTTCCTGAAAATACGAATTTAATTGATGATTTGATTTTTCAGCTCACAGAGATTTTCTTCCCAGAGTACCGACTTTGCCGTGATTAGAACATTTGAAGAGAGTCTTTAATAGAAACATACATTTTAGTCTGTTTGAGTCGAAAATTTCAAAACACCAAAACAAAGCAAAAATGCTTAAACCAGGAAAATATTTTAAAGTAGCTATAAACTGTCGACTAATGACACTGTTGTTCCATTTACATAAACTATATGAAGTAATATGATTCTACACTGTTCTCCAGAAGTCAGTTGATTCTAAACTAATTGCCGAAAAGTCGAGATTTAGGCCTGGAAAATACTGTACTGGAGAAATACTGAATCTCACAGAATTTATAGAGAAGAATTTCGAATATAAACGGATAACTGGTGTCACACTGGTTGATCTAAAAGCTTCCTACAATACCGTGAATTACAAAACTAAAAATATATTATATATAACCTAATGAGGGTCTTAGAGTCCATACTGCAGAACAGGTGATTTTATATTGTGCTAAATGGGAAGATCAGATGAAGAGATTAAAAGAATGGCCTTTCCCAATGTTTAATATATACATAAATGACCCGCCAATAACAGTGAACACAAGACACTTTTTATATGCCAATGACCTGGCTATTGCGGCACAATCAAAGAACTTTAATACTAATGATAGAAATCTCGTAGAAAGCTACCCTAAAAATATGTCGAAGGGGACCTACATGTCATATGGGGGAGAAAGATTCTACAGCAGACAGATGAACCTAATTACCTCGGAGTTTTGTTGGAAAGATCTTTATAATACAAGTACCATTGTCATAATAAAAGACAAAAAGTCACTACTAGTAACGTCTAAGAAAACTGGTAGGAAGCACTGAAACATAAGTCCTAATACAATGAGAACAGCACGGGAAATGTGTTTCTCAACAGGAGGGTATGCCTGCTGAGTCTGGAATTGATCACCCACAAAAAAGAAGTTGATGTAGCCTTCAATGAGATATGTAGGATAATAATCGGATCCATGAAGCTTGCTGCACTCAACCAGAGAAGCTGCTGAATGTGAAGAGAAATTGAAACAAACATTCGATGAATGCCACCCACTGTACAACACGGAACCCAACCGTTTAATTTAAAATTCAGAAAAAGCTTCCTGAGTTTTGTGTCATTCGATCTACCATCTCAAAAAGGCTGAAAGACCTGGAGAACATAAACCGTGTTAAAAGTGGCATAGCTCCAGTAAACGCCAAAAAAGAAATTAGATGCTGCAAAACTACTAATGTTGATCTGTGGGATTGTGGAGAGCAGCAAAATATGAGGCTTCTTCTGCCATATTCAAGATGCCCCTCAACATATACCCTTAATGACCTATGGTGGTCAGCGATTCAGCAATTGCCGTGGAGCGTTACTGGGCAGATAACCACAACTGTGTGGTCCGTTTATGTCCATCTGATGTTTCGAAATTATATCTGATTCAGATTTAGTATTAAAAGTTACGTAAAGGTTTGGAACGCGAAATTTTTACAACTAATTCCACAAAAGCTAGAAATATACATTAAACAAATCTGAAACACTATATAGAGAGAAAATATGTGAAAGATAAAATGGGTATAGCTTTTTATAGACTGCTTTCAATTTTAATTCAAAAACTTGGATAAAGTTAATATTGTTGCTTGTTGTAAGTTGTAATTTAAAATGTACTTATGATTATCAGAATTTTTTTATAAAATAAAGTTGTTCTCATTTTAAATAAGCATTAGTCAATTAAGAGAAGATATGTCTACGTCAGCATCTATTAATCGTATAAGAGAGTTTACAGTGAATTATACTGACAAAGAAAATATCTTTTAGTGTAACTTATTTGGACGAAACACAGTTTTCAATCTTATACTTGCAGTAATAATTAATTTTTTTCAATTAGTTTATGTTAAAATTACATTGTTTAATGCTTTTTGAGCCAAGACATATTCACTCTTAAATATTTTCCAAATCTCTACCCCTCGATAACTTTTCCAAATTCTAACTGCGTTCCAATATTATTAGTTTCATCTAAGCTAAAACTTACTAAAAATAAACCCAGTTCCTTCCACCAGATTGCACAAAAAACCCGATTTTTATTTATAATCTCCGCTTAAAATGCAAAGAGTGTGACAACTATGCGCATGCGGTTTTGTATCAATGATGAACGAGGAAAATAGGCCCCAGAGGCTTGATTCCTTGTTATATCTTCCATTTCCTGCAGGATTGTCTATTTGCTATCAAAATTGTAGATATGAAGCGTGTTTTATTATGAAAAATATATTATCACAGAAGAGAATTGACAGTATCCAATGCATACAAGAGATTTTTTATTTGTGGGACTACTGCTACATTGGACGGATAAGTTAAAATCAATTGGTTTCGTGCAGACCTTTGATTGCCATGTTTTTAAAAATTAGTCATTCACGGAAAGTACATTTTATATCCGTTACAAAATATCTATCTGGAGATATTATTATTTAATATATTTTGAGTTTTTTATCATTTTATAGAGAAGTAGCTTTCGAAATAAGAGCAGCAGAGCAAATTGCAATTTACAAACTGCTGTGTAGTGGGCACAATCACAGAATAATGTGGTTTATATATGGCTACTCGTCTCAACCTAATTCATAAATAAGTTTTAACGACGTTAAAGTGCAAGCGAAATAGTGTATTTGAACAATTTTGAAAAATAATAAAAAAGACAAGTGTTAAATTAAAAAATATTTGACGGTTTATACAGTAAGATGATACAGTCTTACCTCTCCCTGTCAACTTGTTTATTTTAACGATAAAACATAATCGCTTCAACACGTCGATTTTTAAAAGTTTTCTAATATCTAACGGTGTCAAAGTTTCGGTGTTTTGATGACTACTTCCAGGTGACCGCCACACCCTCTTCTTCTTCTGCAGCCTTAAGTAATTTAACTTTGGACATAGTTCTCCCCCAAATCAATCCAGTGTTTTCTATTTTACGCCACTTGCTTCCAGTTGTGTCCTCCAATTCTTAATATAATTCGCCCATCTCATTTGTGGTCTTTCTCTGCTTCTCTTTCCTAACCATGGTCTCCATTGTTGTATTTCGTGGTTTCATCTCTTATCCTTTAGTGTACACCTACATTGGAACCGTATTTATCCCGATCCGATATATGGCGACGGCGGCCGACGTCGGATTAAAAACAAACTCAAGGTATTAAATCAGAGTGCCTATACTGCTTCGTCACGGAAGCAGTATAGGCACTATGATTTAATACCTTGAGTTTGTTTTCAATCCGACGTCGGCCGACGTCGCCAGATATCGGATCGGGAGAAATACGGTTCCAATGTAGGTGTACACTTAGTCGGACATTGTGTCCTGCGGAGCTCCATTTTAATTTGGCAGCATGTTCTCCTGCGTCTTTTACTTTGGTTTTGCTTCTAATCCATTTGTTTGTTTTTTTTGTCTATAAGTCGCACCCCGAGCATTGATTTTTCCATTGCTCTTTGTGTTTTTACTATTTTATCCATATTAAACTTGATGAGTGTCCACGTCTGTAAACCAATACGTGAGTATAGGGAGGATACACTGATCGTAAACTCTGGTTTTCAGATATTGTTCTATTTTAGTGCTTTTCAAGATCAAACTCAGTTTTTCAAATCCTGCCTACGCTAACCTTATTCTTCTGGTAATTTCGGCAGTTTGATTTTCTTTGTTAACTTTCATTATCTGTCCCAGGTAGATGTATTCGCTTACTGCTTCTAAATTTATGTCGTTCAACGATATTTCTCTAATGTTCGGTGTATTTGTCATTTTTTTTCCAAGTTTATCTTAAGACCTACTTTTTCCGGAGCTTAAAATAGTTGCGTCATCATGGTCTGTAGTTCTTCGAAACTTGTAGCAAATATTACAATGTCATCAATGTATCTTAAATGACTCAGTTTTCTTCCATTAACATTTATTTCTTTATCTGCCCAGTCAATGTCTTGAATACGTCTTCCAGTCCAAGTGTGAATAGCTTTGGTGAGATAACATCTCCCTGGTGAACTCCTCTGTTGATTGGTATAGCTTTGGTTTTCGCATCTATTTGTATTTTCATTGTAGCTTTCTGGCAAATATGGAAAAGTTCTATAGAGTCGAATGCCATTTCATAATCAACGAAGCCGATGTATAAGTTCAAGTAATATTCATTGGCTTTCTCTATTAGAGTTCTGACTGTAAGAAGATGATCCGCTGTACTGTAACCCTTTTGAAGTCCTGCCTCCTCTACTAGTTGATAGCTATCAAGCTTCGACGTTAACCTCTTAGTTATTACTCTCATAAACAGTTTGTACATTTGGAACAACAGGGAGATTGGCCTATAGTTCTTCAGATCTCCCCTGTCTCCCTTTTTGAAGAAAAGTATTGTCAAACTTTCATTCCAATCATCTGGGACTTCTACTCTGTGAAGACATTCGTTTTTTCAATTCAAAAAATTTTTCAATTTTTCGAGAATAATTTCACTCTCCTCCTTCAACATTTCTACAAGTATTCCATCTAGGCCCGGAGCCTTATTGTTCTTTAGGTTCTTTAGTCAACCACACCTTCAATTTTTTAAATAGCAATAGGGTCATACGTCAGTTCCTTTGAAAGGTGAGCGTTGAACTTGTTACGATTTTCATTGAAATTTGTTTATAGTTTTTTTTATTTTGTTGGGTTATTCTTTTGGGTGTATTATCATTCCTGTTCCATACCATGCAAGTTAAACGTTTACTTTGTATTCCAGTTCTTCCTTTGGCGGAATTTTCAGTATTTTATTGACGATTGTAAAATGAAAATATTTGCTTTGTTGCATAGTTGTAGCAATCGTTGATTTAGCTGCTGATTCGGCTGTTGATTCATCTGTTGTGTCTATATTTTGCCGTGTAAACATATTAAATAGATTAACATGGTTATTTTGACCCATTCAAGAGAATTAAAATTTTTGTCAGAAATAAACGATGTATAAACTTCTTCCAAATTAACGTTTTCATTCATTGACACGTGATTTCGGCTACTTTTGACCAGTTACAACACGCGATTTTGGATGATTAATTTCATTTTTTTGTTTGCTAGACTATAGTGAAAAATATTAAATTTTTAAAATAACATTTTTACAACCTTTGAAAGGAAGTGTCATGACCATTAAAAAAATAATGATATGGTGCTTACTTGAAAATTTAAAAATTGACGTGCACGACCAGATTTGTTTTTTCGTTGAAATAAACGAGTTTACAGGGAGGTAAGACTTTATTCTCTCGCTGTATAATAATAAAGAATATACCAAAAGAATTAAATATTTAATCGCCTTTGTTCTACCTTGCTTATAGCAAATTTTACACCTTAAAACTACATGAGGTTTCGGTAACATAAAAAAAATTTGAAAACGAAATTTTCGAAAAATATTCGAGTCTTGAATGAATGAATTTGTTAAATACTCCCTGAATGACTAATTTTTAAGAACAAAATTTACTTACACATATAAAAAGATTATGAATCAAGAAGTTAAAGATTAAACAATCATACATTGTAATATACCATAAAAGATACTTCTTTGGTAAATACTTCTAATAAAAAATATTTCTAATGATCACTTGTAATTCGTTTTTAAAAATTCATGTAAATATATTATTGCTTTTATAGGCCTGCACTCAACCATCTATTGAAGTCTTACTAGGTACGAACTTGCAACAACATGTTTGCAAAATTGGAATTTGTGAATTTGAAGTGCCTCTTATCATAAAATTTGAGCAATGCAGGACTGTATGGGTGTTTTTCTTTTAAATGAAGGTAGTGAACTTCAGGTTCATTCGTCGTGTGGCCACACTCTTCGCAAACGTATACTTTTGTACGTCGCTCCTTGTAAGCGTACTGGTGCTGGACTCCGTGCACCTTCAGACAGTGTGATTCTAGGGAACAGCGCTGCGTGAAAGATTTTTCGCAAAGACTGCATTTGTAAGGTCGAACACCTGAAAACAATTTTTTTTATTAGACAACATCTGGTTTAAAATATATTAAAAATTAATTGTATGTTTTGCTTTACAAAAAAAAAAAATAATCAATATTATAATTTGCTTATTCTGTCTGTCTGTCCGTAATGAAAACTCCAACGACGGCATCATATATTCGTTTTTATTGGTCAAATTGGAACGTGTGATACGTGAAATGAAAGAGGATGGAATAAGGCTTATATTGATAGAAAAAACAAACAAGGCGACTACCAAAAGTGCACTATACCTTATATTCGTTATTAATGAGCGTTTAGTTAGTGGCATACGAGATATTAGATGACAGTATAGATGATAATAGACACATTCTAAGGTAAATTTGCTTTATTGACCTGAAGAAGGCATCTGACTGAGTACAAATTAAACAACTGATCGAATCCTAACATGCGACATAGCAAATGAAAGGATAGAATATAACAAATATATTAAGACAGAAAAAACCAACAAGGCGATTACCAAAAAGCACTACACAGTATCTTCGTTATTAATAAACATATAGCGACATATGAGATATTAGAGGACGCTCTAAATAAAAATAGATTTAGTTTAAGGCAAATTTTGCTTTATTGACTTAAAGAAGGCCTCTGGCTGAATACATAATACACAACTGATCGAATCCTAACATACGACATAGCAAATAAAAGAGGAGGATATAACGAATTTATTCAAATAGAAAAAACAAACAAGGCGACTATCAAAAGGGCACTACACAGTATTTTCATTATTAATGAATGTATAGCATATTTATTAGTCTTACTAAAACTCAACAACGACTGGATCAATTTGGCTAATTTTGGTTTTGAAATATCTGTATCCAAGGAAGGTTTACAAGGTGTAAGATCTTATTTAGTAATATTCGATAGATTTCTGAAAAATATTGAATACATGTTTTACATATATATGCTTCTTTGGATTGATGTCACTAAAACTGTAGCTATCTTCACGTGTATTCATTTTAAAACACGTATCCGTTTTTAGATTGAGGTTTATGTTGAGGACATACTTTTTTATGTACTTTGCTTGATATATCTTTCTAAGAAAATTTTTGAACCCACCATTAATATTTGACAGTAAAGAAATGTCATTCATTTCCTTTGTGACTCCATGAAAGTACTGTCATTTACAATTTTTTGTAGTATGGATTAGTGAAATAGGGTTGAGTTTACCGAAAGTACAAGCTGAATAAAGCCGCAAATGTCAAAAATATTTCGGTTTGGCAGTGCTTGCATGTTTTTATAATGCATATTTTGTATGCTTCAAATATAAAGAGATAAAAGATATTTGTCTCATTCAAGATTAATTTTGTAATCTGGCAACTGCTGATTTGACGATTGCCAAATCTATCCCCTAATCTATCAAAGGGTAATTGCCAAAAAATTTCTAATAATTAACTGAATTAATCTCCAAAGACGCAACTATTTACTCGTTATTGTTGCATATAAATTAAAAATTGCAGAATTTATAATACATTATAAACAAAATGTACTTTTCTAAAGCTTTATCTGTTTATATTTGAAGCATACAGTATCTACATTATAAAAACATGTCAACACTGCAATACCGAAATTTTTTGTTCAATGTTTCATGTTCCATGTTTGACATTTGCGGCTCTAATCAGCTTGTACTTTAAAGATGAAGTGAAGTTTAGTGAAGCTTGTACTTTCGGTAAATTCAACCGAACTTTAGAAGTTGGTGCGCAAGAACTTTTTAAATTTACAATGCCAAGTATAAGACGATCTGACTGAGCTACGTCATTTGCTAATCGCACTGATGAGTAAGAGACAGAAAATAATAATAGTCGTCAAGAATCGTCGCATATCAGAATTACGTTCTAGAGTGTCAGAAAATGAAGTGGATATGCTTAGAACATCGAGTAAAAAGACAAAAGAGGGAATCTAATCCTTATGAAAAGGAGACCAAAAAAGTGGCCTCTGATGGAGGACATATCCGGAAATGCGAATGCGCCAAATTTAAATTTTCTGACACTTATTAACAGTAGCTATATAATATTTTTCAGAATGTGTCTTAGACGAGAAAGTTTTAATTAATTATTAATGGTAATAGTCTAAAATACGACACAATTGTTAAAAAACTTCAATATAAATAAGATTTCATGTGACATTTGGGACAAACAATAATATAACCCAACTAAATTTGATGTCAAACAAGGAGTGAGACTCTCTTTCCTTGTTTAATGTGGCCTCTAAAGATCGCACCTCCTGTCCTATATTCTCATTGGATTCACCCCTTACAGAGGAAACTATGATTATTACAAAACTAGTTTACTTGCCAATATTCGCATAATATCGATATAATGAAACGTATTTAATGACAGTACTCACTGCAACTGCAATATTCACATTCACCAACTAGAACTAACAGAAAACTTGAAGTAAAATGAAGAAAGGCAGCAAATATTTGATTTCACGCAAACAAATCCTATGTATCTCTTGATACGTATTTCGACCTAATAGGTCTCGTCAGAAGAGCTATTCATAGGAGTCCTCAACGTGAAAAATCAATATTTTCTGCCTTTTAAGAAGCAACAATCAAGAGATACATAGGATTTGTTTGCGTGAAATCAAATATTTGCTGCCTTTCTTCATTTTATTCAGATTTACTCTGTGGGAGTACTAGAAGCACAATTAGCTAAGGATTTCTGCTTAGTTGTAAAAGACATGTCGTGGAATGCAAATTTTAGATTCCCCATGTCTCTTTTAACATCTTTTATCAACGTCTGTTTGCCTTGCAATTTTTAGAAGGCTCAGATTATAAAGCAGAAATCTGAATTGTGTTTCGAAACTATTTTACGATTGTTGTAATTAGATGTCGCTACTGCGTCCGTATTGAAGCCATGTTATTGTTGTTTCTTAAAAGGCAGAAAATATTGATTTTTCACGTTGAGGACTCCTATGAATAGCTCTTCTGACGAGACCTATTAGGTCTAAATACGTATCAAGAGATACATAGGATTTGTTTGCGTGAAATCAAATATTTGCTGCCTTTCTTCATTTTATTCGGATTTACTCTGTGGGAGTACTAGAAGCACAATTCGCTAAGGATTTCTGCTTAGTTGTAAAAGACATGTCGTGGAATGCAAATTATGTCTCTTTTAACATCTTTTATCAACGTCTGTTTGCCTTGCAATTTTTAGAAGGCTCAGATTATAAAGCAGAAATCTGAATTGTGTTTCGAAACTATTTTACGATTGTTGTAACAGAAAACTATCAACTCATATGAAATGCCGGCTGTCAGACTACGCACATGTATCGAACACAACAGCAAGCACGATACAATGTCAACTATCCCACAGAGTTTTCGCGTATTGGAAGATCCTTATCGTTGTATATTTACGAACATCAAAAAAGAGCAAAAATATTTTGCTCAGTTGCTTTTATTCAAAAGTTTATGAGAAAGCAATTGGATTAAACTTTTGGAATGTTTTTGAGTATTTTTTTGGTTGTCTGTTAATTTTTAATTATTGAACTTATGACATATTGTTTAATTTTAAGGCGCTGATCAGCTAGTTAATATTAACAATACACATTTTTAACGTACCTAATAAATCGTGAAATAAAAAACAATTTGAATGGTTTGTAATGAAAATAATAACAAAATATTTAATTTTATTGGTAAGGTGTAATTCATCTATAAGAAAATATAGGCTTAATTATAAAGGTATTAAACTATCGGCAAATTTTGGACAAATGAAATAAAAATGAGACCAATACATTGTACTATTAGACGTTTTAGAGAGGAATATTAAACCTACCTGTATGTGTCCTCGTGTGTCGTTTCAAGTCGAAGGTGTCATTAAACCCTTTTCCACAAAACGTGCACAAGTATCTCTTCACGTCCGAGTGACATTTCATATGCCTATTCAACAAACGTTGTAGAGCGAAAGTCTTGTTGCATATCCTACAAGCGAAGTTGGTTTGACCGTCTTCGGTTGTTATGGACGCTACTTTGGTTTTATCATCAGTTCTGGTGGTGCTTCGTACAGTGTCTTGGTTGGCCAATGGATTCTTGATACCGTGTCCTCCATTTACGAATTCCAGCTGTACTTCTGCTGGTAATCCCAACTGCAAAAGATACTGAAAGTATAACGAACGTGACTTAGCAAGTCCATATAAATAAATTTGTTATTCTCGTAATTCTAAAAATAAAATCTACTTTATTTAAGTTATAACAAATCCGTAGCAGAGTGAGCAGAACGATAACTTATTGAGTATAAAAACTCATTCACACAGAGCATACATACAGTAGAGAATACAACTTCTGCTTTTAAATGAGTATATCAAATTGGTTTAGGCCAGTCTGTACTATAAAAAACTATTTAGATTAAGTTGGCTGGCTCTAGTTCCTCCACATATGACTCAGGAAAAAAGACTGCTTTAGTCTTAAATTCAATAGAAGTTTCCGCTAAATGGAAGGATTGAAATCAAAAAAGGGTTTATTATATCTAGCATTCGGAAAAACTAATCTCGAGAACAATATAATTCGTGAAAATATCGTGATATAATAAGTGTCTTTCTACAATATTCCTCATATAGTAAATGAGTCTATTAAAGCGCAGAACTGAGATGGCTGGGACACGTAAAGAGAAGGTAAAACGACCAACTGATTAAGAAGGTTATCAGATGAACGCTAGAAACTGAAAGACCAAGGGGAAGACCTAAAGAGAAATGGGAGAACAAGGTTATGATAGATATCAAAATTCTGAAAGTAAGAAACTAGAGAGACCTATGCACAGACCGAAATGAATGGAAGAAAAATGGAACGAAAGCCAAATTGGATCCACCGAAATAAGCGAATCAAAGGGTTTCTAATATTGTTCTAAGCTTCTAAGTACTCATCATCAAGACCTTTTATTCCATCAGGAATGAAATTTTTTGATGATGCGTAAATGAGTCTTATAAATTCGCAATCCTCATGCCCTAAAATAGAACAAGAAGTACAGGAACCATTGCCACATTCGAATAAACAAAACAATTGGTCACTTCTAAAGAACTAATAAAGAAAACCTTAAAACTGAAACTGAAACTTAAACTGAAATCTACTACATAAAAAAAAATAAACAGCGCGTTGAACGCAAGGAAAGACGACGAAAAGAGCAAATATTAAAGTGAAAATTAACAGTTCCACCAAATAAGACGAAAAACATTACATCGGCGCTGGAAGACGATGAATATATCATTAGATCTAGATTAATCTAATAAGAGGTTAGGACGACAGATCAAGCAGAAAAGTAGTTTCTTTTTAGTTAGTTTATTTGGTTTCGCCAAGTAGAAAATCTTAGGATTTCTAATGCTAAGATTTCCTACTAATTTAATGGAAATTAGAGCTCAGCAAAATGGAGAACAACGGACCCAGGAAGCGGAATCTAAGCGGCGACATCGCGAAGAAGAGAGCTCTGGTGCTAGATTAAGTAGGTAGCAGCGAAAATCCACGTCATAAAGAACAAGAAGTTTATTGGAAGAAGACGTTGAAAGGCAAGGTCGACTAGACCAAGATTCAGTACTTCGACAGGCACACCAATTTAAGGAAACTCCAGACAAAGCCGTCAGCAACAGGGAGGGTGACTTGGTGCCGCTTCGTCGACATCGAGATGTGGAGACTAAGGAAGAACGACACGCATGTTGGCATAAGAAGCCGTCGACATTAAGATCTCAAAACTGAGGAAGAACAACACGCAAGGTTGGCACAAGAAGCTGTACTTCACCAAGCTCGCCAAAATGTGCAAACTCTTTAGGAAGCCGCCAGCAGAAGGGACCGTGATGCGATAAAATTGGAGGGGCCAAAAAAACTGTAGGGAGCCAGAAAAAATTAAAGGGAGCTAGAAAAAAATGGAGGGAACTAGAAAAAATTGGAGAGAGCCAGAAAAAATTAAAGGGAGTCAAAAAAAAATGGAGGAGAACCAGAAAAAATTGGAGGGAGTCAGAAAAAATTGGATTGAGAATGGAAAAATTGGAGGGAGTCAGAAAAAATTGTTGAGAGCAAATTGCAATTAATTGGATATCCCGTCCCACGCACGGTCAAGATCACTAGTATTAAACATAAATAGATAAACAAAAAAGACAGCGAAGAAAAGATCTCATGGGCCATCTCGACAAAAACAGAAAACGGATAACACTTTTAAATATTCGTCCTGATTCTTATATATTGATGATGAATAATTCATGAAAATCTGAAATATTAATAAATTTATACACTAGGCTTACGGCATTTAAAAACTCAAATTTTTTTTATATTGCATTTTAAAATTTTTGTTAAATTATAAAGTTATAACAAAATAACATGTAATGACATATATTTTGTGAGTCACGCTTAAAATCCAATATGGCCAATCGAAAATAATCTAGATTTTGAGTTTCTAAAAGCTATAATATAGGAAAGCAACGTTTTTGATTCTTTGGCTGTGCTAATAAAAAATGGTTAAAAATATCTTTACATAGTATTGATTGTTGGTGAGTTGTAGAGAATCGGTCAAATTATATTCCAATAGAGTATATTCCAAGTAGACAAAACAGATCTCCAAATAAAAAATATATAACAAATATTAATGTTTTTATAATTTTTATATAACCACCAACTTCCATTACTTGATATAAAGTAAAAAAGTTATAAGTATTAAATATGCTTTGCCTAAAATCAAACACATGCTTACCCTATGCAACACATTAACCCTTCCTCCTATGGAGGGGGTTTCGCTGCTAGTGCTATCCCTTCTCCGACTCACGTTAGATGGTGGACTGATAGGGCTTCCGTCTCCATGAGGTCCATCTAGAGAACAACTCGCTGCTCCAGGCGAGGGCAGGCTCATCGTGGTCGGTGAATCCAGATCCAAACCGCTGCCGTTAAACGAAAGAGTAGGTGAAAGCATTTGCTGTTGGTGGAGTTGGAGAGAATTGTCGTGCAGGGGAGATTGGTAGGGCGGCAAAGGGTCTTGGTAGATTTTAGAGAAGTGATTGTGCGGAAAGCCTCCCCGGTTTTCATAGTTTCTGTAAACAAATATTAATAGTAAGTTTCAGAGTTTTAAATAAAATTTTAATTAGACTCTTTACTGAGTGTTCTCTGCATTAATGGTTTATTCCCTCTTGGTACGGATTATTAACGGGACAAATCTTGGTAAAAGTAATTCCTTACATTACTTTTTTTGGCATAGTGCAACGACGCAGACAATTGCTGTTGCATGCCTGGTTATAAAGCTCACAAAATAATGCAAGTTTTCAATTGAGATTGTAATATGTAGATTTGGACAAATTTAAATTTTATATTGTTTATAATAGAAATGTACATCAAAATTTTTACTTCCTGATGTCATCAGTTGGTTGTTATCTCTCGTTGGATCAAGTCCTTGTTCAAGCCGGGAACTTGTATGTTCCTCTAAAAAATGTAATTTTTTATCTTTTAATTACTTTATATACGTTTTTCACTGATAATAATCCGATAGGATTGAAACGGTTCTGAAAATTTATGAATCTATTTGGATAATTGTTAAAATATTTAATAAATTTTATATAATTTTACTTAAGTAAAAGGGGCAAATCTTTATTACTCACTTCTACACCTCTCAAAGAAGCGGTTAAGGCAGACCGTGATCTTAACGGAAAAAACAAAAAAATATAAAATCCCACGAAAAAAAATACTTGTATCTTCTAGTTAAGAAGAGGAAGAGGACATTAAGTTCTTTAGTGGTGACAGTGATCACTATAAGAAACTTTAAATGAAGACGTCATTGACGATTTGAATACTTAAAATTGAAGAAAAACTCTTTCGTGTTTCCTGAGATTACGGACGAACCAGTTGCAGATGAAAAAAAACATTAGAAAAGTGCTAAAGTGAAGTTTTAACTTCATAGTAAGTTTTTAATCTTTAAATGTATGAAATATATTAGATTTCTGTTGAATTTATAGACGTTTGTAGAATTAATAGACGAGATTTTGAACAGAGAGTGATTTGGATGAGAAGAGTTTCTACAGAAAACGTCTCGTTCCTGAGGTCTATAACAATGTCTCTTTACTAAAGTCTATAATAAAATAGACATAAAATATCGAAGTGCTTGTAGAGTCTGGGGAAGACGTTGCAAATTGAGCAATCTCCTACCCATCATATCCCACACGTGCTCAATTGGGGATAAGTCAGGAGATCTTGGTGGCCATGCTAACAATGTGACACCATTAGGTTGAAAGAAGTCTATTGTGACTCTTGCAACATGTGGTCGTTCATTATCTTGTTGGAAAGTTGGATTTGCCAGGGTGTCAAGATAGGGTAAAAAGTGGGTTTCTAGAACTTCTTGGATATAACGCTGCGCGTTCATGTTACCTCTGATGAAAATTAAAGGTGACCTGGAACCATAAGCTATAGCACCCCAAACCATAACTCCAACAGTGTGATGAACATGTCTTTCAACAAATAACTGTGGATTCCTCCTTTCACCACGTCGCCTTCTAACCCTCGCTCGACCATCGTGCATGCCTAAATAAAATCGAGACTTGCACTAAAGACAATACTGTTCCATTCCTGATTCCAGAGTGACCGTTCTCTGCACCACTGAAGGCGATTACGGCGGTATTCTGGAGTTAAAGGGAGGACCCAGTGTGGTCGGTATGAAAACAGGCCAAAACTTCTCATTCGTCGGTAAAACACTTCGCATGCCAATAGGTCTTCCGTGTTCTGCAAATCATATATTTGCAATGGAGCTGGTAGTGGAGAAACGACCTCTTAAGGCCAATAATTTTAGGCAGCGATCTTCACGTTCTGTTGTTCTACGGCGGCGTGCAGTGCCCTTGCTCGTTGCGTACGGCCTTCTTGAAGCCATGCCTGACAACATCTAACCACGGTGTCTACACTTCTTTGCACGCTAACTGCAACTTCCCGAAAAGAAAGTCCAGCTTCCCAAAATCTCATTATATGGCCTCTATCAAACTCACTAAGTTAACGAAATCGTACAGGTCTCCGTACTCTAGGCATCGTAACCAATCGTATAGAATGTCAAGAACCACAATCCGCCAAATTTGGATCTTTACTGCGGCTGAAATATTCATTTTTAGATTGTTAGTGAATTTAAAAACAAAAAGTATAAACACCGGAATCTTCAACTGATAAGGCTAAAAATTTTATCACTTGTTTTTTTCAGTAAGATAAATAAATTACACCAAATTTTATTGAAATAAAATCATTTAAAGTGGGTGTTCGGATTTCTGTCAATTAGTATATATTTCATGTGGCTTTTTGTTAAGTTTTACTTTAGAATACATGTGTTAAAATCACCTCCCTCTTTTACATTTATTAAGGTAGATTTGTCTTTTAAGAAGCAGTCTCGTTGGTACCTTACGTATACAGCTAATTACATTTTCTCAGTAAACCAGCTTCTATAGAACTTAAGATTATTTAATAATTTTAGATACGTGAGGTCTTATGGCAAGCTCCCAACATGGTCCTTCGAGCCGGATTTGGAATTAACCTTAGTAGTTTTAGTCTCCATTCTGAAAGTTCAGAGAGGGAGATTTACTTAATTGATCCCGCCAAACCTTGACGAGAAGTAGAAGATGATAAAATTTTAAAGTTTCTTGAGTATATAACACTTTTGAACTGACATTTATTAAAAAATATTCTATCACTTTATTAGTTCACTACAGGGGAAGGGTAAAGGAATTTTTTATTTCATCTGAGTATGTTATAACAGTGCATAATGTAGAGTGTCGTTTTCTCTTTCACAGCTACATCTCTACCAGGAAAATTTATGCGTATCTTAAAAATAATTGTTATTAATTACATTAAGTCTTCTTGGCATGTAATATCAGGGTGAATTATTTTTTGAGTCTTATAGGGATACAGAGATATTTTTTAATTAAATAGAATATATTGAATCATTGCTATAAAAAATTCACGATATGAAGAAACCTTCTGTTGTTTTAAAGACAACTTTTTTATATTCACGGACCAATACATTTTGGCTTTTCACGACTGCTATATGAATGCTTAATTCTTAGATATTTCATTTAACAACTTACCTGTTTAACATTTGTTCGCTAAAGGAATCAATATTTTGATCGACTGGATGTAACTGGGAATCGGGAGTCATCGAAGGAGAATGCATACTTCCAGGTCCGACTTCTTCGCTGTCGTTTTCTTCACTTGGGAGTCGCTGGAGGAAACTTGATAAATCAGTGGCGTCAGGAAAGTTTTCTAATAAGGCATTTTCTGCCGAACTGGAGAATGTTAAGGTCGCTGTAAACTGCAGAGGATCTACAACAGTTCCTGTTAAAAAGAAGAAAGTTAAATTATTCTTATCAGTAGGCATTTGAGAAATTGAAGAAATAATCGTTTATTTATGCTATTATTAGATAACGTGTTATACCTGTGACTAAGTCAACCATCATTGAATCATCATAACTAGAATATCCACTGGGCAGAAGTTGATTCATGGGATCCATCTTTGTTTCGTATATGTCTATGTCACTTTCGTCTTTCATTACTATCCCATAAGAAGCATTTTGAAGCGTTGAATATTGTTTCGGAGGACTTTGGTTTCCATTGATCGTCAAATTTCCTAGGTCTTGTCCTGTATCGCAGTCCATGTTTTGTTGATTAGAAAGGATGTAATTTGAAGAAAAGTTTCCATTTGCATTGAAAACTGTTGCTGTTATTACCGCCTGCAAAAAAAAATTGTATCAATTTTTGTCCCACAACAAATTTAAGACTACGCAAAGCGTTTATTTGCTTAATCGCTAACCTCAATTGAGATGGTACGTAGTAGGAGGAGGAAAAGATTTAGCAAGTAAATTACAACGGGAAATCTATATGGTTATTCATTTAAGACTATTCATCATATGGTCCTTTTCCATCATATTGATAGCACATTATGTATGCAAATCCTCAACAGGTCAAAAAACCATAGGCCATAAATAAATAAAAAAATTAATATTTTAAGATGCCGTCAACAATTCATTATCTTTTAAAAAATCTTCTGTAAAATAAGTGTCCACTAATCTCACTATACCTTTTTTGTGCGTAAAAAACGTCGGTATATATGCCACACGATTATTGTTAATTATACACGGGTGATTAACGAAAGAATTCAATGTTTCACGTAATAAATTAATGTAAACAGTAATTTAAAGGTGGTTATTGTTTTCTATACAAGTTATCGCCTGACACAAAAAGAATGCCTTCTTTGAACGATTACCTGGAATTTCGGATAAGGCTTCACTAATGATAGTTTAAGTAGATTTTATGCCACATTACAGCTTATGCCAATAATATAAATTAGACATTGTTTGCATCTTCCATTTAGTTTGTAGATGTACATTGTTCATGTCTTACCTACCAACGTTTTTGGTGTCGATATTAAGTATATAAGTGTGGTTTTAAAGGTGCCTTCAGTCTAAGAGAGAAAAATATAATATTAAATGTACACGATGCACTTGTACATCAACGCCCTTTAAGTAATGTTCGTGAAATCGTTAACATGTGTTCAAATATGACAGGGGTTGGAGAAGCAACAATTTATAGATTCCTAAAAGAAAGAAAAGGAGGAACTGTTTCATCTCCCAAGAAGAGTGGAGGGAGTAAACCCTTGGAAATTGAAGAAATACATAAAAACATGATAAGACGCAGCGTCCACTCATTTTTTTTTAACAAAAAATTTCCAACATTGGACAAAATCCAAACATTAATTAGAGAAAACGAAGACTTACCAATCATAAGCAACAAGAAATTATGGGGACTATTGAGAGAGATGGGATTTCGTTGGCAAAAGAATAGAAGAAAATCCGTTTTAATTGAAAACGATTACATTGTATGTTGGAGACGAGATTATCTAAGAACTATTAAAAAGTACCGAGAAGAAGGGAAAACAATTTTTTATTTGGACGAGACTTGGCTAAATGAAGGTCATACTGTACCATATCTATGGGTTGATACAAATGTGAAAAGTTCCCGTCAGGCATTCATCGAAGGTGTATCTACTGGAATAAACAATATTCCCGTTGGAAAAGGACGCAGACTCATAATAACCCATATTGGAAACGAATACGGTTTTGTCAATGGTGGATTATTAAGTTTTGCCTCAAAATCAACCAAAAATTACCACGAGCAAATGACTGCTGACGTTTTTGAAGAATATTTTGAGCAAATGTTGGATTTAATTCCAAAAAATTCTGTCATAGTCATGGATAATGCTAGTTACCATTCAAGACTAGCAGAAAAATTGCCAACAACGGCATGGAAAAAAGGAGAGATAATCGAATGGTTGGATAAACACGCAATTGAGTACAAGGAGAATTCGACAAAAAAGGAATTATTACTTATTGTAAGGCAACATAAAGCAGCTTATAAAAAATATATAATTGATGAAATGGCATTAAACCGTGATGTAATTATTTTACGTTTACCCCCATACCACTGTGATCTGAATCCGATAGAAAATATATGGTCTCAAGTAAAGGGTGAAGTCGGACGCAACAACAAAACTTTTAAATTAGAAGACTTACAACAATTATTAGAACATTCCTTATCAAAAGTAACTCCAGAAAATTGGAAAAATGCTGTTAGTCATGCTCACAAGGAAGAAAATAAAATGTGGAATTTGGATAATATGACTGGATGCAATGCTGGAACCGGTAATAATTAACATTGGAGTTGAAGATTCCTTAGATTCTGAAGAAAGCAGTGAATCTGAAATGGAATTTTTTTTACAAATCGGTCCCTGTTACGGCCACAAATTATTTTATATATAACCAATAAAATAAACATCTTACATTTCTTGCAAATTCATTAGTACCTGTTAATCTCCATCACTCCGACACTGGCAACTTTATTTAGGGATTAGTGACCTCAAAACTATTGTATTCTATTCTGCTTCAACCTTTATACCTGGTGGTCATACTCAATTTAAAATTGTTTTCCTATATACTTCTGTAAACTTGTTGACCAATATCTATTTTTCATTGAGTCACCCGTATCAACAGTTTAGGGATTTGCATACATAATGTGCTATCAATATGATGGAAATGGACTATAGCATATTCGAATGTACAGCCTTTATAATTTTATTTTCCTTAACATTTCTTGTAAATTGTTCATATTGTGTCATTCATATATCCTTATTTTTATTTTTTATATTTAATTTATTGTAAAATTTATTTTAAGACTTGTTAATAGTGTATAATTAAGCATAATAAATTATAAGCAGTAAAAGTATTTTATTTTTATTTAAAACTTTTATGATCAATAAATGGTAGTCCGTATTATAAACAGTATTTTCCACTATACTCAGAAATAACAATATATTTATGGAAAAATTAGCATGAGTAAAAAACAACACAGACACAATTATAAAATATGTAGTTTTTATATCACCACAACCCAGACTTTTTTCGTTCATATAAGACATACAAGTTTATGGTTAATTCTGCTCTGAGAGACGGATGTAAAAAACGTGGATGAATTTTATGACCAGAAATTTTAGGATTTTTGTATTTAGTTAGTTTTGTTATTTCAATATATTTTATTGAAATATAATACAGAAACATGAGAAAATTGCAGAAACTAGCACGTATACGATGATAATAGGAGACTTCAATGCTAAGATCGGACAACGACGTGAAAAACCGAAAACTATATAGGACAATTCGGCACTGGAGTTAGAAATGAGAGAGAAGAAACCTTGATTAACTGCCTACAAGCCCACAAATACTACGCAATGAACACATCCTATGAGAAAAAACCTCAAAGAAAGTGGACGTGGCTATTCCCAGACGGAAAAACTCGGAACGAAATACATTATATACTTCGGCGATCACCGAATGGTTAGAGCCATATTAGAGATAAAAAATAATAAAAATAAAAATAAATGTAGTGTACGGATGCACATCAATCGAACTATTCAGAGCGAGAGGATCTAGCAGAGATAGCACGCAAAGAAGAAGAAAAAAGAAGATAACTTCTTAAAGAAAAAATTTGAACAATATTTTATTTTTAATTGGTTTTATGCTGATTAAAAATGAACTTTCTTGTTTATGTTTACCAAATGTTAATGTTAATATTTACCAAATAAAATGTTAATGCGTTTTATTCAGATTTAGGTACATCGATATTTAAATTTTTTTGAACGTAAATATTTCAAAAACATTTTTCTTATTTTTGCACAATTTTGTAATTATGTATATAAATGCTTAGTTTGACCTTTTTGCCATGCTTATAATGCGGTTTTCATTTGTAAGAAAAATCAATATATAATGTACCATGTAATTCGAGTGTCTAAAAGAAATCTTCAGCAATTTACTTGTAATAAGTTGCTTTACGTCAATATGTATAACATTTTCAACAAAATATAAAATCTTTTTGTAAAATGTATTCCTTCTAATAACCACACAGATTGATACATATTGAAAATAAATAAAATGGGTTTTAATGATAAATATAATAATTAAGAAATATTGAGTGAATATTACGTTTATGAGCAAACATTCAACAATATTATCCCTCCTACCTTTTAAAGATTCGTAGAATGGCGGTAAACTTCCAGTAGGTGGACTACTGGGCCCGTAGTTTTGTCTTCCATCCCTTCCAGGATTCATACCACCGCCGCCAGTGCCACTTCCCATGGCTCCACCTCCGCCGCCACCAGACGAACCACTGGTGAAATTTATACTACCGCCACCCGAAGACGAATTAGTGGATTGGTTTCCCGAGGACTGGTTCCCAGAGGCTCCTCTTCCATGACCTGCAGCAGCCGATAACGTAACGGGAAGTTTACCGACAAGCGATCTGTAACAAGGATTTTTTAAGTGAATAATAGGTTACAATAAAGTAAGAAGGAGAATAATAATAGGTTAGAAATTGCTTTGTTATAAGCAATGTTTATATTTCTTTGGATTGTATTGTCGGAACATTTATCAAAACACCATAATATTTGTTTACCTTTATAAAGTCATTAACTAAAATTAATAAAAAAGTAGTTATGATATAGGCACTACCAAAATTATGAATACTATCTAAAAGTTTTTAAAATAAAAATTAAGAGAAAAACAGGTGTCAATTCGTAAATAAATTTTCTAGTTTTACAATTTATTTTCGAATTTTTATGCCTTGTTATTGTTAGTGTCTTTCTTCTAGTAATATTTTAATTATTCCTTATCTGTTATAAAAATGTTGATCTTATAGGGTGTTCCATTTATTTTATTTTCGTTTTTCGCTTGGCATCTCTTAGTATTTTGATCTATTTTCTTATTTTATAAGATTGTTTTATTTTAGATGCAATATGAAGAAAGATACAGAGAAACGGAAATCGTGGATGACCGATGAAATACTGGAACTTATGGATCAGAGAAAAAAAAACAAGAAAATCTCCAAGAATGTAAGAGAATACATACCATCGTCAGAAGAGAAATAAAAGAAGCCAAAGAGAAACAAAAAACAGAACAATGTCAAGAAATAGAAGAGTATCAGAGTCGATATGATAACTTCAATGTTCATCGAAAGGTGAAGGAAATAGCTGGAAAGTTCCCAAAAACGCAACAGCGAAGAAATAACAGATGATGAAGGCAATCTTGCCATAACCAAAGAAGATAAAAAGAAAGTATGGGAAGAATACTTGGAGAAACTTTTCCATGACCTTAGAACAATACATGAGCCCACCATTGAAGAAAATTCAGGTCCCGAAATCCTACCAGAAGAAATAACCAGACCAATGAAGGATGGAAAGGCACCGGGATTTGATGAAACTGTTAAAGCTATTAGATGCCGAATAAATGGAGAATATACAAATCAGGTCAAAATCTTAAGGGGAGTAAGACAGGGATGCATAATTTCACCACTGATATTTAATGTGTACTCGGAGCACATTTTTGAAAAGGCTCTAAAAGATATTGATGAAGGCATCTCAATAAATGGAGTCAAGTTCAATAACCTGCGGTATGCAGATGATACAATAGTGTTTTCCAATACCATAAAAGGGCTGCAAAACTTAATAAACGAAATAACGGAAACAAGCAGAAAATATGGACTGGATATAAACACCAGCAAAACCAAGATAATGATCATCAGCAAAGAAAATAAACCAAATAAACCAAAAGAATAACCTAACCTAACCAAAAGAATCAAATAAAAATTGAACGTGTCTCACAATACAACTACATACTTGGGAACTACAATTAATGAGACGTAGGAAAATATCCAAGAGATTAAATGTCGCATCGGAAAGGTAAAAAGTGTATTCTTGACTATAAGTTCCGTGTTCAAGAGCCTTGACCTCACCCTAGAAACAAAAATAAGGCTCCTTAAATGTTATGTGTACTCAGTGCTTCTGAACGGAGTAGAAACGTGGATATTGAAGGCGGAAACTCTATCAAAACTTCTGGATTCTTAGCTATGGTTATTCAGAAGGATCCTGAAGATACCATGGACAGACAAAGTCACCAATTAAGAAGTACTGCGGAGGATGAACTGCAGTAATTAAGACATATAATGAGAAATAAAGATATGAGCTACTTCAATGCATTTTGCAAGGTAAAATTGAAGGTAAATGGGCCCCAGGACGAAGAAGAATATCCTGGCTTGCTAACCTGAGAGCAAGGTATAGAAGGACCTTAACACAGCTGTTTCGTATAGCAACCAACAAAGTCATCATAGCCAGAATGATCGCCAACGTTCGGAAAGGACAAACACCCTAAGAAGAAGCAGTGTAAAAGCTGGTATATATTCATTTATCTTTATAATTACTAGATGGCATTTTTGCCGAAAAGATTCCTTCGGATTGTTCTGGGACCAATTACATCTTTCACTCTGTTTCAAGTAGCAGTATCATTTTTAGAAATAAAAATGTCGTTGTTGGTGCCGAGATTTGAACTCGTAAGTCCTGGCATAAAAAGCTAGTATATTTGTCGCTGAGCTCAATATAACAATTTTAGCGATTTTACAACTTCTTTATGCCGTTCAAATACTATGTTTTGTTTCGTCAATTATTGTCTCTTCGTTTGAGCTAAATTTTTTTAGTTACGAGCCATCTCTTTAGATTTGGGAACACATAATAATCGAACCGGAACAAATCTGGAGAATAAGTCGGATGAGAAAGTAATTCAAAGCACAACTCATGAATTTTTGCCATTGCCATTTGCTTTTGTAACCCGGTGCATTATCTTGGAGAAGCAACACTTTTTTCTTCTGGATATGGGGTAGTTTCTCACTTAAGTTCTTGCTTTTGTCCAATAATGCACAATAATATTGGCTATTGATAGTTTTACCTTTTTCAAGGGAGTCAATTAAAATTATTCCTTTGCAACCCTAAAAACACAGTGGCCATAACCTTTTCGACCCATTGAGCCACTCTTGCCAGGTTCAGAGAAGTTTTGCGGCTTCAGTTAACTGCTGTGAGTTAAGTCTGTTCTCTGGCCTCTAATAAAACTTCAAAATCTACTCTATGTCAAATTGTGCTTTTACTTTGGGGGTGGAATCCACACCAAAAATTTCTGTAAAGTTTTTTCGAAAAATCAATACTTTAAGACTAATTCACTCTTTAAAGGTGACAATGTCGTATTTAACGTTTAATTATAAACGTTTTAAAACTTAACCTAAAATAAATAGATAATGGTCAATTTTAATGGAAAAATGTGTAATATATTTTTAAAGTACTTGTACATTAAAATGATACTTTGTAGTACTCTCTAGCGTATGCACTAAGTGAGTTACGATAAAAATAAGGTCAATTCATATTTTTTTCATGACCAAAAAAAAAAACCTTGCTAATTCTATACTAATTGCAAACGTTTTTCATTTCATATTCACTTTATTTAAGCATCGGTAATGGTATCAGCAGTGGGAGAGTTTAGCAATTAAGTAATAAAAATAAATTTTTTTGACAAAAGTATATTCCAAAACCGAAGCAAAAAAGAACAGGAACACACGCGACTTTTTTTGGCCCATAACTTTTTTCTACGGTGATAAAGGTGAGTCATTGCTTTACAGAAAAAAACTTATAACCTTCCTCTTTAAAATAACCTTTAGTGAAAGTATTTAGGATTTACAGTATTTCAGATACGATTTTTAAAAGTTTGCCACTCGCCATTTCTACTATTTTTTGGCAAATATTGTTCTATTTTTTCTACTGTTTTATGTATATGCAGTGGTACATTTAAATAAAAGCTAGTTTGAAGAAAGATACGGTTTTTCAAAGTTTTCTACTTTTAAAGATTTTTGCAGCTTTTTTAAATTTCTCAATATAACTTTTTTCTTGTATATTTAGATGGATGTATTAGAAAATAAAAAAGAAAGCTTGTGTTCTGTTCTTTAAAATAGTCTATTGTAATATATTCTAGGGCTAACGGTAACTAAGACATGGTTTCTCAAATTGAGATTCTTGTAACTATTTGTATATACCTATGTACTGTAACATTTTTTTTATTATTAATATATCAAATTATTTTTAATTCCTTTTACCCCCGTGCGATACGCCGATGATTAGGAATCCCTGTGTTTACGATAGGAAAATATTATTGTAGACACCAAGCTGAAATGGAATTCCCTAATTAAGAAAGGTTTTTAATCCTTCCGTCTTAATACTCTGTATGAAAAGAACAAATGCTTTCCGGTATGCAGTTTCTTTTTCATAAATTGGTAATTGTATCTTTTGACAATAATATAATCCTAAGGATTTTAATATTCTCAGGTCCAATTGTTAATACCGATTATTTTACCTCAAACTTTCCAATAGTCGTTAAGGCCTTACCTTCTGAGAAATACATACGACTGTCCGATGATTTTAAGTGGGGGATATAGCTTCTCCTTCTTTTTTCTTGGATAGTTGGTGAAATTTTTAGGGAACCAACTTACTTCTCGGTGGGCTCTTGTTGAGTGGCGTGATATCTCGTGATGCGCTTTGCTCACGATATTTCTTATCTTATCGTCGCTGTGAATTATTTTCTAAGTGTGTGTACACTTCATATTTGAGTTTTCTTTCCTTAGACTATATTAAATTATATATAGTTCTACACTACCTTTAATGGTTATTAAATTCAGTGTTTAGTACCAAAAAAGTATTAAATTCAGTAAATTAAGCTACCTTCGTCAAGATCTACTGTAAGTAATCTTTATCTACAATTATCTGGGCGAGTAATATGGTATGGTACCATATCACCTGCCATTTTCTGGACGTGTCATCTATATCTTCACCTGTAGATTGCCGACTTTTGAATGTAATTGAACCATTCAAGAAATTTCTATAAATATTACCTATGAACATACAAGTCTCAGTTTTTTATTAAATAATAGTGCGAGATAGTTAATTGACTTAACCAAGTGCGGTTTGGTTTATGTTTTCATTCCTGTAACCTTTTTGTTTTTTTTTGTAAATTTAGAGTTAAGAAATTTTTGCTATCTTTTGTATTTCCTATAATTTTTGTTCATTATCTTTCCTATAATATCTCGAGATACGCCAAACTATACTTGTATATGATTGCCTTATATATCTTGGTAAAGGTATTTTTTTATTACATTATTGCTTAATTTTATACATATATAACACCATTTCATAGTTGTGTATTTTTATTACCTGTGTTGCATTTAGCAGCATCATAATTTTGTGTTTTAATATATTGTTATTGTTTTATGCATGTATTTTATTTGTCGGCTCCTAACAAGTTCCCTGATAAAATAATAGCTCTGAACAATTACTATCTTTAAATATTACTATGCTTTTGAACTATAGAAAGCACAGTTCGAATTTGATAAGCCTAGTGAGCGGACGTATTCGAGTGCTGGTATTTTTACTTTTT